ATAGATCTAAGGCATATTTTCTTTGAGATAGAAAAATTCTTTTATTAGATCGAAATACTTCGATCCCAAGAAAATATCTTAAAGGACCTAAATCTTCATTTCGAATTCTCTGGACAAGTACTTCTTGAGAGCTTTCATTTTTTTAGGATCATTTCCTGTAACCACCATGTCATTTACATATACAATGAGTACAGTGATCTTACCCTGTTGTTTCTTCAGAAATAACGTGTGGTCTGAATTGCTCTGACGGTAACCAAATGCTATCATAAACTTTGTTAATCTTCCAAATCATGCTCTTGGAGATTGTTTCAACTCATATAATGATTTATTTAATCTGCAGACCTTCCGACTATACTTTTCGGGTATCATGCATCCTGGTGGGAGATCCATGTAGACTTTTTCAGATAATTTACCATGTAGAAAGGCATTCTTCATATCGAATTGTTGCAATGGCCAATCTAAGTTCATAGCTAAAGATAACAAGACACAAACTGTGTTTATTTTGGCTACAGGTGCGAACGTCTCTGTGTAATCGATTCCATAGGTTTGGGTATAACCTTTTGCCGCAAATCTTGCTTTAAAGTGTTCAACTGTGCTATCTGCTTTATACTTCACAGTGTAAATCCATCGACATCTAACTGGTTTATTTCCTGGTGGATGATCAATAAGTTCCCAAGTTTCATTTTTCTGCAAGGATTTCATCTCCTCGTTCATAGTTGCTTACTACCTAGGGTTAGCTAAGGCTTCCTACACACTGTTAAGAATAGATACAGTAGATAATTGATTTACAAATGACAAATTTGATTCTGACAAATGATAGTTCGACACATAATTGCTCATGGGATACTTAACTTTACTAGAAAGTTCGGGTTCATATGTGGGTTTAGGAATACCTCTAATGTGACGCGGTGGTAATTGTTTTCTGAATGGCTCAGGCACTAAATCAGGAACATCCTCAGCACGCGATTGGTTTGATATATCAGTTACAAGGGACTCGAACTCGGAAGACGATGGGGTTGGCACCATACTATTCATTTCTGGGCGTTCATCACCACTTTGAACCAACCAATCAGGAATCAGGCGAATTAGATTACCATTTTCATTTCGGATATCCCACAAGTTTGAAATAACGACTTTTGGTATGACCAATCTGGTTGCAATGAGTGTATTTGTAGGTAAACTTGTCTGCTCAGGATGATTCAATATTTTTTTCACTCATTTTTTTATTTTATTTATTTATTTATTTATTTTTTTGAATTGGTTTATCACATAACCAGTTTTCAAATGAGGTTACAAAAAACTGGTTTAGTTTTAAACTAATCCAAAACTAGAATAGGAGTACACTTGTAGCCAAACAGAGGGTTTTGAATTTTTTTTTTGAAATATTATATATATTTATAATATATATATATAACAAAATATATTCAAGTAGCCCATTTAGTCTCTGTTAAGAGACAGAAACAACTGAACTGGATGAGAGCAACTGGAGGTGCTCCTCCTTGTGCGACGGCGACGATGGATCCGGTGGCGATGATTGAGACAGCGGCCAGTTCGGTTCGACAGCGGAGAGGCGGCTGGTTCAGCTGAGATGGATCCGGCGACGCTATGGACAGCGGTTCGGCAGTTAAGGGCTGCAGATCCGACAGCGACTGTTAGCGAAAAAGATTTGGCAACGGCAATGATCCGACGAAGTGCAGCGGTTCGTTGCCGGCAGGCAGCGGTTTGGTTTGGCGAAGAACCGTCGATGCGATGCGATGATAGAGATCTGGCGATGCAACACAGATCCGTCGAGGTGCAGCGGTTTGGTTACGTCTGCGGCTTGTGACGGCAGCGACTTGTGATAGCAGTGGCTGCGGCTTGTGATGAAGATTGGTGAATTTCAGGGTTGGTAATTTCTGAGTTGTGTATGGGTCTGTATGTGTATGGGTACGTGAACTTCAAAAAAATAAAATCAAAGGGATTCAAGGTTTCGGTTCAATGATGACTCTGATACCATCTTGAAATTCAGAGAAAGAATATGAGCATTAAAAACTCTATTCAATAATTTGTTCGATAAGTATTACATCTAATTTATATAATATGATTAGCTAAAATAGGTAACTAATTACCTACCAATTAACCCTAAATTAAGGAGTAAATAATTCAATCCTAAATACTATAAGAGATAAAATCTCAACAATTCCATCGAGATAACATAATTATTCATAAAATATAACTTTTTCCTACTTACCATCCTTACACATGTTTTATGTTTTAATTTTGAAATTTTTATCCATTGCTAATTTGATATATTTCTTTTAGTGAAATTTATTATTTTACATGGGTTTATATTTGGGAAAATTACATATAAATGGAGTCAAAGATTCATATTTACTTAGATACTGAGTCAAAGTTCCATATTTCTCTAAAATGGATTGCTGAGGTGGCACATGGTTTTTTACTGTTTAAAAAATTGTGGTGCCTAAAATGCCCTTCCCTAATAAAAAAGTAGTACCTTCAGTTCAAAAAAGTAGTACCTTCAGTTCAAAAAAGTAGTACCTTCGGAGAAAAAGTAGTACTTTCGCGAGTGTTTAAAAAACATGGTACCTGGACGCCAAAAAGTAGTACCTTCAGTTCAAAAAAGTAGTACCTTCGAAGAAAAAGTAGTACCTTCGCGGAAGGGTATTTTAGGCATCACAATTTCTAATCAGTAAAAAACCATGTGCCACCTCAGCAATCCATTTTAGAGAAATATGAAATTTTGACTCAACCTCTAAGTAAATATGGAACTTTAACTCCATTTATATGTAATTTTCCCTTTATATTTTATATATAGTAGTTTTTATAACAATATTATGTATAAGAAATATTCAAAGTAAAAATGTAATATATCTAACATTTTTCAATTTTTACATTTAACAAACAATATGAATGAATCCAACGCAGTATAAACAAGTTTTGAGATTAATACATTCAACACCTATATATATTCTTACATGCATTCTACAAAATTCTTCTCCCACTCTCATTTGTTTTTTTTTTTTTTTTTTTTAAAATAAAAAGAAAATATTGACTTAGTTGTCTCTCAAAGCATTCTTAGACTCTACAATTGAATAATTTTCTTATACTCCACATTTGATAGGGAACGGTTTCATTTGTTTTTAATAAAAAACAAAGTGGGATCAAGGAATTTTTTGGAAAGTAAAAATATTACCGTACCTTTTTTTTTTCTTCCAATACGGACGAATTAGGCACATTCCAGTGTCATCACAGTTCCAAAAACGTGGGTGTGAAACCATGAATCAGTTGAATTAAGAAAATGGAACCCCACTATCACAGAATTTTAAGTCAACTTTAATGATCACGATAGTTGGTTTGGAAAGCTCCTTCGGTGGTCCATGGTTCAAAGGAGACTTGCTAGGTGGAAAATGAAAAACTATATACGCGCATACATGTATACAAACAAGTAAAATGTCACTTCGGATTACTTGTGAACTGTTATTATATAATGCATTATATAAGTATTTTTAATTATTTGTTGAGTGGAAAATTGAAATTCTATGGCGTGAAGCCAATAACTAACTATATATATTTTGGTGGACTTTTATAGAGCCGCCCAATCTTTCCGCAATTTGAAAGTTGAAACCTTTCCAAAGATTCATTTACCCCAAAACAATATATATATTAATTTATCTCATAAAATTTACATTATTTTTACATCTATCTTGTATGTTTATTCAAAAGAAAAAAAGGATAGGACCACGTATGTGTGTGTATATATATATATATATTTGAAAATTTTAAGTCGCAACTTGAGTTTGGTAATGAAAAAAATAAAAAATAAATACAGTAAAATGGATCATATAATTTTTCAACCAATTAATTGAAAATTATTATCCAGTAGAGTATCAAACTCCCCAAATAGTAATAAGAGATGCCATTTTTAAAATTTTTTTTATTTTTTATCTTCTCTTACAAAATGCATCAACCTGTACCATTTTTAAATTTTTTTAAAAGTCCAACATAGTATCGAGAACGATTTTCTCCCCATTAAAATAAATAAATATATAAATAAATTATTTGGAAAAGTCTTTTCAAGTATATTCTTTTTCAGATTCTCACTTGATGATAATATTTTAGAATGCTCGAAAATGAAATCAGAAATATAACAATCCATTTTCATAGATTAAACTCAATGGTCAATGATTTTTATAAAGCAACAAAAGAGACTTCAAAGTTCAAACCCAAGTACAAAACTTGAGAGACTAATCGAATCCCATCTATAAATCAAATTTGCACCATTTTCGTCAAATTTGGAGTAATTGTTTCCAGTTTTCCATACCCAACCTACCCTTTTGATACTCATATGTTTAATAGTTGCTGATGCTACAAAGTAATTCGACCCAAATTCAAATGTTCACAAAATGTCACATTATCCACTTTTTAAAACTAGCTTCTTCATGGGGTAAAATTTTGCCACTCTAATTTCTCGAAGAAAAAACAAAAATTCACTACTAAAAATTTGTTGAAATTTTTGTACAAATGATAAAATTTCATCAGCAAAATTTCAAAGTAAATGGGGTGAAGTCTGTACTGTGGGTTCTGCGGTAAAAAAAGTGTATTGGACATTGAAATGTGGTGCAGTGTGTGTATGGTGGGACTCACAGAAAGAAATTTTTTATTCAAAAATACTACAGAATATTTGTTTGTTGGGTCTAAAAAATGAGCCATTTATGTCAATAGCCTTTTTAGTATGTATGGGCCAAACATTTGTTCAAGAAATGCAAGTTTTCAAATAGGGTAGGCCCAAGCAGATGACAACTAACCAGAACTAAATTTTAGGTGGCCCAAAGTTATGCTATCCCTGGGCCCAAGTCATATATTTTGTCTCTTGGTTTCATTGGTCGCTCTGTTCTTAACCGTCAGATCATTGTGAAGCAATCAGCATCAACGGACATTATAATTCAATACACTATGACTGTCTACACCATATATCCACCATTCCTATATATAGATATATTTCACGTCTCTTTTCTCTCTCTCTAAAGTTTGCAATTAGGGTTTCCGTCTCTGTCCGCATACTCCAGTTGCGTGGTAGCTTCAATCGAAAATGGTGAAGGGTCGCCAAGGAGAGCGAGTCAGGTACATACTTTTTCTCTCTACAATACTCATCTTATCAAAATAACCATCTTTGATTTATACATTTCTTCATATCTCACATAATAAATGTATATTTGTGTGTGTTATATATATTCTAATTTGATTTTATTTTCTGTATAGACTTTATGTTCGAGGGACAGTCCTCGGATACAAGAGGTAACAAACATCATCACTCTCACTCTGTAATTTTTTTTTTCTCTCAATAGAATTCTACTTAAAAAGGAATTAGTTAAGGGTCTAATTGTTGATTTGATGGGTTTTTAGGTCGAAGTCGAACCAGTATCCGAGCACATCTCTGGTGCAGATAGAGGGAGTGAACACGAAGGAGGAGGTGTCTTGGTACCTTGGGAAGCGAATGGCCTACATTTACAAGGCCAAGGTCAAGAAGGACGGCTCGCACTACCGCTGTATTTGGGGAAAGGTCACTCGCCCACACGGTAACACTGGCGTCGTCCGTGCCAAGTTCAAGTCCAACCTCCCTCCCAAATCAATGGGAGCTAGGGTTAGGGTTTTTATGTACCCTAGCAACATGTGAGGTATCCTTAATTGCATATTGATTCTTTTTATTTCTATATTAAGTTCCATTGATCTTAATTTGAGCTTGTTTGGTTTAATTGAGTAAACTAATTATGGATGAGTATTGCAATTTTTTTTTTCCTTTTCTCGTTTTATGAAAGCTTAATAGTTCTTTTTAAGCTCCAATTGTTTGAGAATGTAATTAGAGAAGTATAGTTTAAATTTGGATTTAGTAATTTAAATATAAGTGTTAATAACATGCATGGATTGATTTGAGAGGATTTTTTTTTGTTTATGCGGAAAACCGTCCTGTCCACTCTCCTGCTTCATAGTAAAGCATAAGTTAAAGGGTTTTTTTTGGGGTTCCAAAAGCAACAATTGCATAGGTTTGGTGCAAAAGGTAGTGCTTTTGAACTTCTGAATAGTACTTTATTATCCAGTACTTATGCTCAAACTGAAGAATAGCAAATCACCTTGGATGTCATGTTGTAATTGTCCAATGTTATCTTTTTCTATGTTTGTTTTGCAGCATATAATCTCTGTTGAGTCTAAATAATAGGGTACTGCTTGATATATGATGAAATGAGAATCCATTGGCAATCACTTTTGCTTGTCCGCCCCTCTCCATATGTGGAATCAACACTGCTTGTCTTGGCAGGGGGAGGGGGGGGGGGGGGGGGTTTGCTATAATTCTCCAGAGAAATTTAATCTCTATATTCAAATTTAAATTCTTACTAGCTTAAACGATGTCTATATCTTATCCTCTAATGATCTCTCAGGTCACACCTTTAACTCAAACCATATTGTGGTAATCATTGTCACCAACGGTGACAGTTGTGTGTGTATGCAAACAATTCAGTGGAAATTTCATGCACTAATTTATTTATTTGTTTATTAAATAATTTTACTAACATTCCATTTCAACATTTCTCTTCCCATCGCACTCATTTTATTTATATACAGTATTTATGGGGTGTGGGTAGTCGGCAATCTGATTTTGTCGTGGAGTTGCTTTGTAATCATTCCATTATATTTTTATTTGAGTTGATAGGTATGCATTGATCACACAACTCTACAAGCTTCCTCCTCCTTGTGAATGACCAAACGGTATTGAAAAATAGGGATCGCTTTGTAGCTGTCAACCACCAAAAACATTTTTACTTGTGGTCGCACTTAATCAAGTCTGTATGGTTGAAGGTGGGTTGTAGGGAGAAATCTTTGATTTTCTGAACAAGCGACAAAAAGGAAGAAAATCTCGTACTTTCATTGGCCGGACATGTAAAAAATTAAATACGCTAGTGAAGGATTTAATTCAGTCTTTAGATATAATAAGACTTGTTGCTGCAACTTTTGTCATTAGTAGCAGCAAGTTGATCAATATTTTTTATGGACTATGATTGGTAATTATCAATTTTTTATTGTTGCAGTGAGCTAGTTGGTGTAGATTCAGAGACGACGACTAGAAGGTGAAGCAGAGGATTTTTAATTTTTACCATTTTGCTTTTGAGTTCAGTTTAACGTTTTGTACCGTGAAGCTATCTTAGCTTAGCTAGTTACTTGGATGCTCTCTTTGAATTGATGAGGCAAATGAAATATTTATGATGATGCTTATTGTTAAACTTCAATGGTTATTTTTTCTTTTATTTACCAAGTTTTATATTAATCATTGTTGCCTTAAGTCACCATCAAAAGTGTCGGTGACAAGATATCTTTTTATTGTTTTTTCCTCCAGTCATCCCTACTAATGGGGTCATTCTTAATTTCTTTACTATTAACTCTTATCTCTTTTAACATCCTCATCAGACACGAATTTGTTCTTATTTCTTTTAAAGCCAAACTATTTGGTCCTCATAAAATAGTTCATCTAATAACTGTTCTAAAATAATTTATTTTTAACTTTTTTTTTTATATACTTTTATTGCATAAAACACCACTAATTCCAACCTAGTGACTACCTTTCTGCAAATTAAACTATAAATGTAAAGTTTACATTCATTTTAAATCCCTTAAGAAGGATCCATTCTGGTGCCAGCAGCTCCAATAGCTAGCTTATATCTAAGTTGTTGCAGTTCCAATAGTTTATAGTTATGTTGTTGCAGTTAAAAAACCCGTAGTTGGACCTTGGGTTGGACCGACTGTCGGTGATGCACACCTTTCCTTAATTGAACGCGATGACACAGCTAGGAACTTAATATCAATTCATAATGTTATCTCAGAGAAGCACTCAAGGGAAGTCAGTTTCAAGTCTCAGTGAAGGCCATGTGTATAATTAATCATCGACTTGCAATCTTCTTCAATAATAACATTTCGAATATCCTGTTGCATTACAATAGTCACAGCAACATAGTGAATACTGATTACGAGACCTTCGGAAGAAGAAAAACAGAGTCAATACTGATAACGAGACCTCCACGTTCCTTTAATGGTGACTAGAATGCTGCATCGAAATTCGATTTAAGAAATCCAATTTACAGAGGACTCCATGATTGAGCTGTAACAAGAGACGGTGGCACCTGTAAGACTCTGAAAATATATCCTCCCTCAAAGGGGGAGGTGAGGGTCCATCTTAGTAATAGGCAATTTATAAAATGTGTGTGTGAGTGAGTACAAGAGAGAAAAATATGTTATGAGGTAGAAAATGTATTAAAATGAGCAATACCGATATTTTATTATGGTTCCAAAGATTGTAGTCTAATCTTACTTCCTAAATAGTACAACTCCAATAAAGATAATGATAGATGTGCAAGTGTGTTTATTGTCAATAAAAATAATATATATATATATGTGGTTGATATTAATATCATAAACATTTTCTATACCTAAGGTGAAATAATGGGTTGTCTTGGGCATTCATTTATACAAGAAATAGGTCAGATTTGGTAGAGAGATTATACTTTAACCAAAATTCATTAATGGTCTTGGGTTTCATATTCGAATTAAAAATAGTTTTAAAAAAGTCAAAGGTAGACTATTATCTTTTTATTTAACCAATTCAAGATCTAAACTAAACCAACTGTATCTTTAATATATCCAAACTTATAGGTAGATGTATATATTTAGAGGATTTGATTGAAATTAAGTTGCAGATATGGTTGTATTAAAAAAATAGATTTGGATAGAATTTTCTTAATATCCTATTCCATAAAGTGAAAATTTTCTTAGTCTTCTTTCCCACACAATGTGAAAAAAGAGGAGGAGGAGACGACGAATTAAGAATCACACAACGTGAGATCCATGTGTTGTTTGGCTAAATGGATTGTGACCAATTGAGGTGATTTTAGACCTACATTTGCATCTTCTAAACCTTTGATTTCAAAATAAAGGAAAAAGAGGTCAAAAGTCAATGGCTTCCCTTCCCGCCTAACTTCCCACTTTGACTTTCTTTTCTACATCTTTTGCATTGGATGGGCTGCTCATCAAGAAAGAACATGCCATGTTGTGGGAGGCCACGAATACCTCTTAGAGTCGTGTGGAAGTTCAAAGTCGTCGACTCATTTCATTTTTTTTCAGTTTTATTGACAGGTAAAATAAAAGAAAAAAAAAATATACACATTATATGAGACCTAAATTATTGAAAAACAATAAAAATAAATTAAAAAAGAGATAGAATAAATTATTCTAATTTTCATATTTTTTTGGTAATTATTATTATTTTTTATTTTTTACCATAAGTAAAAAATTGATAATGCTAGTTTAGAAAAATAAAAAGTAATTTTATTGTATTTAAGAAGGAGATAAAGTGAATTTGTAATATGTGGGTCACTATATTTGGTCTAGAAAAAAAAAAATTGTTGGACAATTAAAAAGAGATCAATTCACAGACAATTTTTATTTTTATTTTTTATAATACATTGTTGGCTCCACACTAATGGTGGGTGGTTTCACTATTCCCACTACACGGAAGGGAATCTTCTTATTCAGCATTATTACAGTTTTATCTCTGCCTGAAACTCTCCATTTGCAATGTAATTTACTACTATCTTTAAATAAATAAATAATTAGTTTGAAAAAAAAGAAAAAAAAAAGAATTTAAGCAGAGACCTTGACATGAACGTGTCAGTTTTTAATATAGTATGATCTGTCTAGATAGTGAGAGCTTGTTGAAAATTCATTGAAATGCATAAATCTATAGATTGCGAAATCTTGGAGAATTGGGACCGTAGGATGCTTGGGAGTGTCGGCAACCAAACTTGTGGAGCAATGCCAAATAAGAAATTGATAAAATAATCTTACTATTAATTTTCAACTAACAAATATTCGTGTCCAAAGAAAATTTCTAGGAATTAATTGCAAATGTGATTTGCATTGGAATCTAAAAATCCAGAAAATGCCAGCCAAACAAAAGCCCCCAAAAATTAATTGCATTGGCAACTAGTATTTTTTAAAAAAATCAATTAGCAAGTGTACAGCCACTATCGTCACACAAATATGATTAACATTTCTCTAAAAATCATGGTTCATTAATTGGTCTGCTTGCCTTTTTTTATTTTCTTTTTCTTTTTTAATTCAATTGTTGTACTTACTTGCATGAATAATATACATTTTTTTTTTTTTTTTCCTTTTGCTAGATTTTAAAAATGGCGACACCGTTTCACTTTTATACCATTGTATTCCAATCTAAAAAAAATTCGGTATCTCTGACCATAACTTTAAAATTTAATAATTATTTCTTTCAAATACCACAACTAACCTTTTTAATTATGATAAAATCCTTTTTATCTTTTCCTCTTTCTTAATCAGTGTTTTTGATATCCTATGTTATTTTTGTCAGGTAAAGTACAAAAAACCTCCCTCGACTTGTAACCTTTTTCAGTAAACCCCTCTCATCTAATTTTTTTACCAAAGAACCCCCCTCGACTTGTAGTCATTTCCAATAAATCCCCTTTATATAATTTTTTTACTAAAGAACCCCCTCAACTATCTAAGGGAGGTAAAATAGTTGATATTTTGACCAAAATGTCATTTTATTTAAATCTTAATTTTCCCCAACTTCAAAAATTCACAGAAATGATATATGCACAGAAATCTTATAAAACAAGGATTCCAAAAATATAAGATTTGTTTAACAAAATCTCATAACCAGAGAGTAATAGACAATCCAAACATCTACTGTAATAATTTTATTTTATTTTATTTTTTATAAAATACTCAGATTATTTGCAAGAAAATTTTCAGAACTATTTATTTTCATATGGAGCATATAAAAAAAATTAGTCCCAATAAAGACCGAATATTTATTTTTATTTATTTTTTAAATGATGAGTCAATAAAAGAAAAAAAAAATACTTTGACGCAAAATATGATATCTTGTGATATCGATCTCTGTTAGGGTTATTTTTTTATCTATATATTCGGCTCTATATGTAAATGAATAATTCTGAAAATTTTCTTACAAAAATAAAATAAGATTGTTGGAATAGATTTTTAGATTGCCTATTTCTCTCTAGTTATAAAGAATTTATATTTTTGGAATCCTTATTTCATAAGTTTTCGATGCATATATTATTTGCAATTTCAAAATGTACAGTTTGTGAGATATGAATTTTTGAATTTAGGGAGAATTAAGATTTAAATAACAGGGCATTTTGGTCCAAATATCAATTCTTTTGCCCCCTTCAGATAATTGAGGGATTTTTTTTAGTAAAAAATTAGATAAGGGGGATTTATCGGAAAAAGGCTACAAGTCGAGGGGATTCTTTGGTAAAAAAATAGACAAAGGGCTTACTAAAAAAGGTTACAAGTCGAGGGGAGGATTTTCTATACTTTGCCCTTTTTGTTAATCCCAATTTTCTCTTGTTTCCTGCCTTACCAAGCTCTTTCTCTATTTGTATTAACTTTCTCTTTTCTTACTCGTTAGGGGTTGATATATTGATCTTTGTAGGTAAGAATGAAAGATTTCACAAATGAAGAAATAGCAAAATTCAACGATATAATTGATCTTGTTAGTATAAAAAATATTAAATAACTATTAAAACTTTATGAACCAATTAAACTCATTTGATGATGATAATAGTGATGTGAAGAGTAATTTGTTTTTTATTTTTTATTTTTTTTTATGTTTTATGCTTTGAGTTTATGTTTGGATTTTATTTTTTATTTTTTTAGTGATGTGATTTTTAAAAATTAATTTGGATGTTGGTGGGAATGGTAACTTTTTTTTAAAAAAATTCTTTTCTATTTTATGCTTTGATTTTAGTTTGATTTTTTTTTTCTTTCCCGAATGTGAATTTTAAAATTTTATTTGAAATTTATTTGAATAATTAAGTTTACATTGTACTTGATGATCAATAAAGTTCGAACTTTTTTGACAATAAAATAAAAAGACGAGTGATTATGTGAAAGGAACTATATATATATATATATATATATATATATAGTAAATAAGGTAAGAAAATTAGGAAGGATGCATTAATGAGCTTAATGACCTTCTTGTCATTTCCTTTAAAGAATAAAGAAAAATGGAGTGCACTTGTAAAAAAATGAAGTGCAAACATGCCTCCCTTTAAAAATTGTTGCTATTATGCTCTATTTGGTAGGAAATAAAAATTTGAATGGAAAGAAGAGAAGAATAGAAGAATTGCGTATTTCATTCTTTTTGTTAGTTTTTAGGATAGTATTATAATTAAAAATTTATATAATTTATGATAGTATTTAATTTAAAATTTGTATAATTTAGAATAATATTTAATTTAAATTTTCTATAATGTCCACTTGTCTTACATTCTTTCTTCTGTCCATTTTTTGAGATGAAAATTTGTAAATGAGGAAGAATGTGTCATCCTTCCTATCCTCCCTTATTTTCTTATATTATCTCAACCAAACAAATGAAAATTTTTCATTCCTTCCTATTTTATCTCCACACCTATTTCTTCCTTCCTATTGAACACATTGTTGAACTATTTTCCGGTATTACAAACTTCGAAATTAAGAATTCACGCATTCTTAGACTCTGTTTGTTTCGACATAAAATATTTTTTGCTTTTTAGGTATTTGGCAAAGGTGTAAGTTGAGATTGAGGTCAAGTCTATCAGGCAGAACATATAAAATAATTTACCAAAAATTAATGAATAAATTATTTTTGATAAATTTTAATATATATATATTTTTGTAAATATTTTACATCCAAATAAATTGAACCTAATATAAAATAAATTTGGTCCATAATGCATGTAGTCCAAAAGTGATTTGTACGACTTTTAATCATAGAATGTCAAAAGTTGAAGTCTTTGTAAATAAATACAAAGCGAGCCCGAGTTACTTGCAATGATTCTTTCTCAAATTTAACGTGGTTGGACCAGGTTGAAATTCTTTTAAAAAAATATATCCCAAACATCTCTTTCTATTCAATTCATTCCCAACTATGTTAGATTCGTACGAGCAATCGGCAATTATGGTCGAAAAACTTATCATTTCTCATTAAAGAATGGATAATATTTAACATCCTCACCATTGAATTTGGAATTTCTTTCTTCTTTATTTATTTATCTATTGGGATTAACCTGACATTTGAAAATACTATTTTTTTAGTTTATTTTTTATTTATTTATTTTGAATCCATGGGAATCCGATCAAAAAAAGAAAAAAAGAATTCACTGGAAGGAATTGATTGATAATGAGAAAGGCAATAAATTGGTTGAGGAGTGCAGGAATTCTTTATCTATTTTACAAATTATCCTTCTCTATCTCTCAGTGAACTTTTTTTGTTTTTTGGACATATTTCATGTATTTTAGACCTAATCAAATAGTACTGATTTAAATAAACAATTATTTTGTTAATGGCAGTCATAGTCATTTTAGCTTCTAATCAAAATGTAAATTCCATGAAATTATAACAAGAATCTCCTCACAAGTTTTTTTGTTTTTAAGATAAAATAAACTCACATTTATGCACTCGAATTGTCATCTCCTCCCAATTTGAAAATGAAGCAATTTTCAGAAAAAAAAAAAAAAATTGTAAGAAAAAAACAAACCTGAAAAATGATCTGGCAAAAAGCTTATGTGGTGTCAGAGACTCTTTGTTGCCGAATGCACGTGAGTAGCACGGTAGCGTTAACTCCCGTGCTCTTAACCAGTCAAAGAAAACAAGCCGACAAATTGGACCCATTGGAGGGCAGAGCTTAGTTTTTTTTTCCAGCAAAGCCCACTTGTCTTCCTTTTTTTTTTTTTTTTTTTTTTTAAATTTTTTATTCTGGATTAATCGAATAAGATAAGCAGTCCGAGGCAGCTCCTCTTATTTTTTAACACTTTGTTTGGATGAAAAGAAATCAAGCGAAAATGGAAGAGTAAAGGAGATTTTCCTCTCACCAGTTTAGCTAAAAGGAAAGAAAAGAAACCAAATGCAAGTGTAAACAGACAACAAATTATTCCCTCTTCATTTTACGATGTACTAACTTTCATGTACTAACTTTGTTTTAGGGTTGGTTTAATTAACATATCTTTTACTTTAGGGTTGGTTTAATTAGAAACTATTACTTTTATTTGATTTATTAATTAGTATGTGAGAATTATATTTTTGAGAGGGTTTTTAATGTTAGAAGAGTTTTTGACAATTCATTTATTGAAACTCTTCTACAAAAATATATGTTTTGCTTATAGTTGAAGACTGAAGTAAATTATTATTATTATTTTTCTTGACAAACTAAAGGAGAAAAACACGAACACGAACACGAGTACGAGCACTATCATGAGCACGAGCACAAACATACTCTCTCAAGAATTGTACCAATTAAGTTACTGAATAATGCCAAACTTGCTGTGTGTTTAAAGAATAGAATTTTGATATTTCGAATATCTCATTAAACTTGTAAAAAGGCATAGTTCTTTTTTTTAAAAAAAAATCAAACACCACACAAAACAGTTTTCAAATCTAAAAAAATCAAAAATAACATTTGAAAAGCGAATCTAAATACAATTATTAGAAGACAAGTCAGACCATATTGTAATTCCAAAAATTTAATATGTTGAGATATATATATATATATATATATATATATATTGAACTTCTTCCATTAGTTGTATCAAATTAATTTCATGTTGTCATGCTTGACAATATAATTTTTTTATTAATGAACAATTAAATGGCCAAGAATACAAAGAATACCAACAAATAATTATCTACCCATGTTCTCATTTGGAAAGTGAAAGAAGAGGCCTATCCATGGACAACCTTGTCTTCCAACTGCCATGGTGAAAAGGAGATACTTTAATCACTAATATTCATTTTTTTCTTCTTTTTCTTTTTCTCTTTTAAGACGACATTTATCTCTTTATTTACTCTTAATTTCCTGCTAGTATTTAGCAGTACCAAATATCATTTTCCTTTGAAAAACCACTCTTTTTCAAGAATTAGTTTAACAACAACCATCTAAATTCAATACAGACAAGCAAATCTTAAGGCACATTGCATCAAACGTTGTCTATTGACCGACCCATTTGATCCAAACCTTGCAACTGGTGTGACATGTGAACCAGATTTTCAACCCTATCACAAGACTGGTACATTCCCACATTCCCCCCAAACACCTTCTCCTCTCTCTTTCTATATGTATAGAAAGAGAAACATATATAACTATATATATATGTATGCATATTTCCTTACCGTTACGTACGTTAATCAAACCTGATATACTTTTTTTTTTTTTTACCTTTCTTCCAAGCTCGCTTCTTCTCCGTAGTCCGTAGTAGTTTGCATACATACAGAAAAACCTTCACATCAGAGACTTCAATTCCGAAACGCTTCACTGTCACACAATCTCTCACGAAACCCTCTTAAGATCCACGAGACTTTCTCTCTCCTCTTACCCCTCTAACCCCCCTCTCTATCCCTCTAAAACCTCCACCTCTGTTCTCCATTTCCAGATCTCTCTCTCTCTGCCGTCCTGCAACTCACCCAATTCTAGAACGCTTGACCGAAATAATATTATCTATTCGTATATTCGTTATCCGAAACGCAATTTGTATTATCTCAATTGGGTTTGGAAAACCCTAGAAGAGTTCATTCAATTCGATGAAGGGCTCGAGCCGGTTGTTCACGATCGGGCTCGTGTCGTCATGGTACTCGTCCAACATTGGGGTTCTGTTGCTGAACAAGTACTTGCTGAGCAACTACGGCTTCAAGTACCCGATCTTTCTCACCATGTGTCACATGACGGCGTGTTCGCTGTTGAGCTATGTTGCTATTGTTTGGCTAAAGATGGTTCCTTTGCAGACGATACGCTCACGAGCTCAGTTCACCAAGATCTCAGCTCTGAGTCTCATCTTCTGTACTTCTGTGGTCAGTGGGAATGTGTCGCTCCGCTACCTTCCGGTGTCGTTTAATCAGGCAGTTGGGGCAACCACGCCTTTCTTCACGGCGGTGTTTGCCTATATAATGACGGTGAAGAGGGAGGCTTGGCTGACCTATGTCACTCTCATTCCTGTGGTTACAGGGGTCATCATTGCTAGCGGGGTAAATTTTTCATTTTCCCTTCTAATCTTCTACTTAATTGAAGTTTCTTTGTCTTTCAAGTTATGGATCTTCTTTTTTGGGATTGAATTGAATCAATTGATCTTTTAAGTTTGAAATTGCCTCTATTTTTCACTTGAAGAATTGACTTCTGATTGCAAGAAAACTTTAACTTTGGTTATCCTAAATGAAATGTTAAGACAAATTCCTAGATTAGACAATAGATAGAGTTGAAAGAAGATATTCCTCTTTCTGGGTTGAGACATAAGAGATGATATTCTTGTATGTCTAATTGTTAAGAATCTTCTATCAAAAGATGAAATTTTGTTGATCCTTTTGTATTATCATTGCCAAGGTTTATCTTGCACAATTTGGCAAACAGAACAAAAGATACCATAGAATTGTAGACTGAATCTGAAATTGTAAATCAACTTCAAGAAGTTTTATAAATTTTGAAAAAAAATGGATCATGGGTAAGCAGTAGGACATTTTGCTTGCATAACTTGGTACAAATTCGTTGGGAATTGGAATTGACAAACACTCAAATTTTGTAGATTTACAACTAATTTAGCATCACTTCTATTGATTAAAATAGGATGATCATGAAGAGTATGCACCACGGGACCTCACTTTGTATATACCCATCTAATAATGAATAATTAAGGCTCTGGTACCAGTCTACTTTTCTAAACCTACCATATTAATTCCTTGCTTCTCTAAGCCAATAGAGGTCGTTTTGAGGTCTTTGTACTTCTCACTAACCGTTATATTAGTTGCTGAAGAAGAGAATTCCATCATTGATCTCCCTGGCATAAATCCAATGTGAGTTTTTGACATTGTCGTTCTAAAAATCTTGGGCTCAATCACTCTTTTTAAAATCTCATTATCCAACTTATTAGGTAATGTAAAATTAGTGTGACAGTATGAGACTTTTGAAATTAGATAATTTAATCTTGTTTAGCTGTCCAGCTACAACTTACAAGCAAATTTTTGAGGTGGACCAGAAAAAAGACACCATTGTTCAAAGTGCTTTGAAATGAAATCCACTCTACTCTAGCTTAATTTTCTCCAATCCTAGAGGAATTAAATTCTATTATTTGATGCAGTCATTAGAAAGTAATTTAGTAAATGGCTCCTATGACTCATGGTGAAGAGTAAACCATGCAGTCATCACAATTATATGTTGGTGGTAAGTTAACCACGCAGTATCAAACTGATATCGTAAGATAGAATGGAGGGGGGCAAGAGAAACAAGAAGCTAGCCTTAATGGAACTCCCATTGCAAGATACAGGTTCCTTCAAGGGGATGGATTTGTATCTTACTACTTTATAGTGAGAGATACAAATGCGCCAAACCCCTGTCACAATTTTATAAAACACTTGTGAATCTTCTTTGTTTGTCCTCCTCCCTATGGCACCATCCAGAAATTGAAAAGAAAGTGAAGTGTGTTTTTTTCCTCTCTCAACCTCAAGTGCGGCAGACTATTTTATGTGTTCCATTTTTTATTATTATTATTATTATTTTTTTTTTATGTTTTTGATTGTTTAACAGCTTCTATTGAAAGGGTTGTTGATATATTCATATGCATATTTATTACTTGTGATAAGAAGCCTGTTTTGTAATTTAATTTGTTTTAGAGTATAATTGAACTTTTTTTTTTTTCTCTATAATGTGGATGCAGGGAGAACCAAGTTTCCATTTGTTTGGCTTTATAATGTGTATTGGTGCTACAGCTGCAAGGGCATTAAAATCAGTGCTTCAAGGGATTTTGCTGTCCTCAGAAGGGTATTTATTTTCTGAATTATAAACAAGACTACCTCCGTCCCAAAATTCGTGGGGTGTTTGGGGAATCCAATTTTTTTTTTTTTTTTTTTTTTGGTCCTGGCAATTGGTTGGAGGGGTTAGGGAGTTAAGTTAGAGGGAATCCAACTTTTTATTGTAGTGGAGTTTTAATATTTGTTTATTGTATTGATAAGAGTGAAATTTCCAAAGTTATCCTTGTTAAAAGACAAAAGAATACTCTGTAATTAGTGCAAAAGTCAATATCAGAAGGATAGTTTAGGTATATTATAAAAATAGTACATCCATTTTTGGAATGGGACATTTATTTTGGGACATCCCAACATAGAAAGATGGACAAGTATTTTGGGACAGAGTTATTATTACTGAGTGCTTTAGGGGCTTAACTTCAGTACATGTGTAATTATGTACGTGTTCTTCTTTTTCCAGGGAAAAGCTGAACTCCATGAACCTTCTGCTGTACATGGCACCAATAGCTGTTGTATTTTTACTTCCTGCTACGCTGTTGATGGAGGAAAATGTGGTTGGGATCGCATTAGCGCTTGCAAGAAATGATGTCAAAATAATCTGGTATCTGCTATTCAATTCTACTCTAGCATATTTTGTGAACTTGACCAATTTCTTGGTCACTAAACACACAAGTGCCTTGACTCTCCAGGTATGTTCTGTGTTCAGCACCTGGCATATCATTCTCACTTGATATTCACTCTATTTGATTATGTTTAACCTATAATGGTGCAACTTCTGTACTGCCTGAGCTAATCTCTTACATTACCATCTATACTATATTTTCACTTAATTCAGATTGTTGTTACAAAATCTTAGTCTTGTGTTCATATCAAAATCTAAGGAACATTGGTTTTATGAAGGTGATGATATATCATAGACCAGAGATGTTGTTTTATTGGTGCATAGTTAAAATATAATCGGAAGTGCTACTTTCCAGTGTGCCCACTTTTTAGCTATTTCCTTGTAATTTGTCTGCTGATGACTTTGAACATCATTATTGTGCTACTTGTTAGTTGCTGTCCTAGACAAGTTGACGTGTTTTATTGTATTTTCTTTGATATTTCTGGTTGTTTAGCGAATTAGGATCAATAATTTTGATCAAACTTTTTGTTTTTGGTAAGTAAGACGTGCACACAGACACAATTGCCCCTTATGGAATCTCCTCAACCTTCCAGTTTGTTTAAACTATTTTGACAGATCCATTTATTGATGCTGATGGTGGATGGTTGACTCTATTATTATAGTTTATTCTGTTAACCATTGTTTTACAGAATAATATATGCTGGAGTTTACAGATTGCAACTCATTTATTCCTCGAAGAAGAGTGGTCCCTCGTTGATAAACTAGTTTGAATTGAAATATATATGAAGAGTACATAAGAAGAGTTGAAGAAAGTAGATAAATTTCTGCATTACATGATTTGGCCACTAAGGTAGATGGTCAAACATGCGAGGTGTTAACTAGATGCAAAAATTGAAGCTAGAACCTGAGACAGTTTGGATTCTTTAGAAGCTGATAAGTAGGATACGGGTTTGAGATGCTGACTCATAGTAGGTCTGGATCACTAAATCTTGATGGTATTTAGATGTAATCAGCTTTTAGGTTATTCCACATCCTTTTGAGAAAATCTTCTATGCTTTTCAGTGATGCTTCCAAAAATAATTGAGTTTCAGGGAAACAGTTGAAGGGATTGAAGTAAGTGTCTAGTAAAAAGAAAACAAAAAGTTACTCTCTTATTTTGTTCATGGCAGTTTCTATGGGTTCTAACGATGAGTTTTGTTTTTCTTAAGAAACTGTTGGGTGTATTAATGACATTTCCTGTAGGAACTGCTTTTTTTTTTTTTGATAAGTAAAATTGTATTAGAAAGCGTTCAAGAGGGGAACACGTCCTAAGAGCTGTACAAGAACCAAGAACAAAAAGAAAAGAGAAAACCTATGGATCCAAAGACCCCAAAAAGTCCAAAAAGTCCTCTACAAAAGAACAATCTCTCCCCATACCCCAACTAAAGAGAGAACAAATAATAGAATACTTTAGAGCCCCAATGGGTAACTCCTCCCCAACAAAAGATCTTCTATTGCGTTCTTTCCAGAGGCACCACCAAATGCAAAGGGGAGTCGCCCTCCAGAAGTCACGAACACGAGCCCCCACCCTTTGCCCCCTCCAAATATCAATAAGAACTGCTATAAATTTTTTTCCTTCTTAGAAACCTTCTGCTTGTGCTTATTTAAAATTTAACCTTTTTTGTTGACAAACCACCTCTGTGTTTTTGCGAATTTTGGGCATCCTTTAATATTATCCGGCTATAGTTTATTTATTTTTTATTATTATTATTATTTTAGGGTAAAGATTTATCTTGCTATAGTTGCATAAAGATATGGACATTTCAGACAGTGTATTGTAGACTTCTATTACATATCAATTTCAATAGGAAGTACATATTACATATTATTAAAATGTTTCAAGCTAATTATTTTTGGAGTTGAGAACTAAAAAGTAAAGCACCACCCGCACCCCCAAGTATTCATAGAATAGATATTGAAAAAGCAGATACATGGATTTTAAACCAGTGGAAAATGAAAAAGAACCCACTCTACTCCAAAGTAGATGCTCCGTCTTGGCATTGAGGGCACCTGTTTTGTTGATTGATCTAGGACTTATGCATGAGATGTTAAAAACATCCCCTCTCGGTAGATGCTCTGGCTCCCTCTTGGCTTTGAGGGCACCCGTTTTGTTGATTGATCTAAGGCTCATGCATGAGATGTTAGTATTGGCATCCCCTCCCACAAACTTTTAATGGTTTAGATTACATGAAGCTATTGGATCCATCTCTAAATTACAGGGGAACATTTATTGAGCCTTTGTTGGCGGAACCCATTGGAATTGTAATTGAAATTCTATATCAAAATGATGCACTGTTACTGACTAAAATTGTGGATGGTTGCAAGATATTGAATCATTTGGTGGTGTTGATGTCCAATATATTAAATTAGAAAAGTTTTTTTCAGTTTCAAAGTGGATGTACTAACTGCTAGCACAGGCCTACTGTTTTTCTGAGAATTGGCATATAATTACTACATCTGCCTAATTTACTTTTTTAGTGTTGTTTTGTTGTTCATGTTACTTACGCTGCATACTCTAGCTAGTAGCTAGTAACCTCTAAGTATAAAGTAGTAGATGAAAATGTTTCCGTTTAATTTAAATTTGAACATACAAAATTATTTCCTCCTTTGGGATTCTCACAGTGCTTGTCTTGGATTGAAACTGGCACACAGCATTGGAGTTAGATCTGTGCGTAGATAGGATTTGTCCCGCCTGAATGGCAGGAATACTGCTCTAGTTATCATAATAAATAATTATATAAATAATACTACTGTTGGACCTGCCTATAAAAGATTCGTATGAACCTTTCTTTTACAACTGTTCAACAAAGGTGAAAGGGTGGATTTTGAAAGAAATCCTTATCAATCTGTCTCCCTATTGTCTAACTTGAAAACTTTCTTTAGTCAAAATGGAAAGATCACTGACTAAGAAGAGATGAAGACTTGTCTGATCTAATTATCATCAAAGATGCAACTAAAATTGTCTATACAATTCACTTATAAAAAAAAAATTGTCTGTACAATTCATGGCATCAACTAGCTAGCGCAATTCTTATGCCGAATAGAATTGGAAGATGGAAGAATTGACCAAATTGATCTTCATGAAGTTTTGTCAATCCAGTACATTGTTAGAAACCTGAAAACATTCGAAAGGACAGTTCTTGTGCCAAATATTGGAAGATGGAAGAATTGACTCAATTGATCTTCATGAAGTTTTGTCAATCCAGTACATTGTTAGAAACCTGAAAACACTCGAACTTTTACTTAAGATAGATTAGTAATGACCTTGATTGAACAAAGTTGTATATGCATCAATGTATGTACTTTGGATTGCTTGTAAGTTGTGCTTTGCACGAAGGAAATATACCTAGTCAATGTTGATGTTTTCCTTGTAGTAATACTCATCCCAATAGTTCCACAACAGTAGCTTCACTTCCATTTTCTCACCCAATTTTGTTGCTTATTTTTTTATATTTATATTTTTTAAGATGTGTTCTGAGGAACTTCTGGCCTATTTTGAAACTGAAAGAGCTAAACTTCTACAGGTCTTGGGAAATGCAAAAGGGGCTGTTGCCGTGGTTATCTCGATTCTTATATTTAGAAATCCTGTGTCAGTAACGGGCATGCTCGGCTACATGCTCACTGTCATTGGAGTGGTTTTGTATGGTGAAGCCAAGAAGAGGAGCAAATGGGAAGCCCTTTAACTCCACGTTTCTTCATGTGAAGGTGCCTTCAATCTCTTTCAAAGTCGTCATTTTGAAATATGGTTACAGCGGATGCCATATATTCTTTGTCCACGAAGAAGGCGAGTTCTACCTGTGCGACAAGTAACTTTATGGTTGGCAGAGGGGAAATCTCAATAAAAGCATGTATTGACCTTTTCTGCACTAATCTTCAGGTTATGAGGGCAGCATCAGTTATGCTTTTGGGGGGTAGACTTGGACTCATTCCAATCAATTAATTTTCTTTCTTCTTTCTTTTTTTATTTTTTATTTTATTTTTTTTCCCTCTTATAACCTTAGTGCCAAATGTTGATTGATTGATGAAAGATGCATCAACATATATACCATTGCACAATCATATACAAATTTTATTGTTGTGTAAACACTGTAAAATGCCCATCAACATATATATCAAGGAATTGTTTCTTTTGTTGGTTCATTCTGCAAATTTTCTGCAAGTCCAGCTCAGCTTCTTGTGGTTGCCGTTCTAGTTCCCCCCAACCCCCGAGTGTGCATATAGTTATAGAGAAGTAACATCAGCTGCAACATGAGTATGACCAGGTTGAGACAATTTCAATCATCCCATGCCCAATTCACTCATGTGGATTCTGACATGTTGTCAACCATTTTTTTCTCCCTCAGAACTGTGACAGGAAGAAAGGCTTGTACATCACTCAGGATACCACTGGTGGATTAGTAAGTAGCATTCCACCACTTGAGTGATGGTCCAAATCTTTTTCACCAAAGAATGGAGTAGTCATATGGGACATCCACTTTCTTTTTCATATTGATGGATATCTAGAATCTGATGCTACATTCTTTAATTTCACACCCGTCAATTGCATCATTACATATTCTACAAAAACCATAAAATTATGCATTTCATTTGGACAAAAAAATTGAAAGGTGATCATTTGTAATGGGACAAGACTTGCCCATTCACTGCTAATGTGGTTCAATTATAAATGCATAAATAATCAGTAATTACAAAATGAGTGCTAATGTGGTTCAATTATAAATGCATAAATAATCAGTAATTACAAAATAAGAAAGTGATAAATAAGAACAATAATTATTTTTGGAATAAATCCATTCACCTTTTCTAATTTATTTATTTATTAATTTTCTAATTTTGCAATTAAGAATTATTTGTGCCTTTATTTATTAATTTATTAATTTTGTAATTAAGAATTATGTGTGCATTTGTGATTGGATCACGTCTAAGTAAATCTTATCATTGGCAATGCATAAGATTTTATGTAGGGAAATAATAATAAGGAAAATAACAATACTAGTAAAACATTAAAATTTTATGTAAGAATATTACTACGTCATGTTGCCAAGTCCCAATGCAAAAAATACTTCTTCAGTCCAGATTTAATTGTTCATTTTTTATTAGTATTATTTTTTTGAATTATTTTAATATACTTGTCTTAATTAAAAAGTTAAAATAAAATAAATATATCTTTTCATGAATGACTTAAAATTTTCAAAAAAATTCAACTTAAATTATATAAATATTTTAAAATTTGAAAGAATAAGTATACCTTAATTGCATGTCTCAGATAGTAATACAATATATAATAAGGTTGGTAATTAAGTTCCGTTGGTTCAAAATATTATATTCGGACCTTCTTCTTCATCTTAATCTTATCACAGAATGTGGCAGGCCGTGTTGGCATCAACTTGATGAGTGACACTACGTATAGTTGCGAAAAATGGGAACTTACGGGATTAAAGCGTAAAATGCACTACCGTAGCGAACATGGCTTTGGAGTAAATAAAAACGAATAAATGAAGGTGACGATGGACTCCACGCACCAAATCACGCACGCCCAATTGCACTGCAGTCTCGCTTTTGCTTTTCCCGAGATTCCCATTTCTTCCAAAAGCCGTTACTAATCTCGTCTTTCACTCTCTCTCTCTCTCTCTCTATATAGTCTCATCTATATAGCCCTGATTTCATCCTCTTCATACCTCAACAATACGATTCCTCTAGCAGTCTTCGATGGGGGTGACGGATCAGAAACCCAAATCGGATATCTCATTCGCCGGAACCTTCGCCAGTAGCGCCTTCGCTGCTTGCTTCGCTGAGGTAAAATTCACTCTCGTCAAACTTACAATGATCTTATATATCTATCTTCTTTGTTGTCGATGTGTTGTTCTTCATTTCTGAGCTCAAATTTGAGGTTTTTCATGATTTTATTTTGAATATATTTTGTTGAGACTTGCATCTAGTTAGCTAAGCTCAGATGATAGATGAGATCATGATATGTAGCTTCGATATTGACTGATAAATTTCATTGACACAGTATTTTTTTATTTATTTATTTATTTTCTGTACTTTTGATTAGTTAGATTAGATGTGATAAATATTTAGCGTATTTAAAGTAAGAATGCTGCTTTTTTGTGTCCCCTGTAATGCCACTCATCCCTTCCATTAAGCCATTGCCTCCATCATAACCAATTTATCCATGAATATTCTCTTTATCACGAATTTTTATCAATTTTATCGGTTATACATTGTAGTAGGAGTTTATCGGGTTGTTCTTGTCTTGGCACTTGGATGATCATCTTCAGATTTTTTTTTGGTTGTTGTTGTTGTGCTGCTGCCGCCCACCTTTGTTCACCTTTTAAATCTAAATTTCAAAATTCAAATACTTACTGAAATTTCCTAATGCATTCAGCTTAGTAAGGATCAATGCATACAGCTTAATAAGGCCAATTAGAGGAATCAGGTTTCCTTACCTTGTTTTGGTTCATTCCTCAATTGTTTAAATATGATTGACTTGATAAATATAGTGATTGAAATGAAGAGGGTATTTTCTAACAAATTTCCTATATCTGATATCTATTTGCTCATTTGTGAAATTAAAATTTGGACTAATGCATTCAGTTGCATAAAAGTGCTTTTATTTATTAGTTTGTATTTTAATATTTTGCAGATATGTACTATTCCATTGGACACTGCTAAGGTTAGGCTTCAGCTCCAAAAGAAGGCAGTTGAAGGGGAGGGAATGGCTTTACCGAAATATAGAGGCATGTTGGGTACGGTTGCTACCATTGCTAGAGAAGAAGGTCTATCAGCTCTCTGGAAGGGCATCATACCAGGATTACATCGTCAATGCTTATTTGGTGGTTTAAGGATCGGGTTGTATGAACCAGTAGGTTTCCTATCTTTTTCTCTGTGAACTAGTCATGACCATGACCATTCTCTTTGTTTGCTGGGATTGATTTTTTTTTTTTGCATAATCTTTATAATGAACCAGGTTAAGAACTTGTACGTGGGTAATGACTTTGTTGGAGATGTTCCTTTATCCAAGAAAATACTTGCTGGACTCACAACTGGTGCGAATATCCGGTGGATGCATTTGCATGTTATTATCCCTTCACACAACAATAAAGAAAATTATGTAACTTAATGTGTCTGTACTAGTCCTCTGTGATGCATGTAAATCCTAGACTTGTAATGGGGGTTCATCTTAGTTATCTAATTTTTCGCATTGTATCAATTCTTTTGCTTTTCTGTTTGTTAATTGTACTTTTGTACATCAAACAGGTGCTCTGGCAATTATGGTGGCAAATCCAACCGATCTTGTGAAGGTTCGACTTCAAGCTGAAGGAAAACTGCCACCTGGTGTGCCAAGGCGTTATTCTGGAGCACTCAATGCTTACTCAACAATAGCGAGACAGGTTATATTTCTAATTTGTCTCCCTTCCTAACCCTCTGACCCCCTTGAAATAATTGATCCCTGTTCATTTGATTTATTTATTCAATTTCACTAACATATATCTAGAGTTTAGGAAGGAGTTGGGGCTCTATGGACTGGACTTGGGCCAAACGTAGCACGGAATGCTATTATCAATGCTGCTGAGCTTGCTAGTTATGATCAAGTGAAGCAGGTAAACTCACAATATTAAGTTTCATTGTTTATTGGTTTTTCTTGTGTTATGATCTGCAAATGCTTCACTATGTATCACTGTTTTTCTCAATGCAGACAATTCTAAAGATTCCAGGGTTTACAGATAATGTTTTCACTCATCTGCTATCTGGTCTGGGTGCTGGATTTTTTGCAGTCTGCATTGGCTCCCCAGTTGATGTGGTATGTAATTTATGCATGTTTCTTAAAAATTTGATTTAGTTCAACATTTCCTACTGGCTGATGGAGTTCCTGTGGTTAGTACTGAAATTAGATGATTAATTCATGGTGAAACGATGTCGCACATGGACTAGAACATGACATTTAAAAACCTTTCTCATATTTGCATTATATATATATATATATATATTACAACTACATTACATGATTGTTTGTATGCATTTGCATCTCTTATTTGCTACTTACCATCATTCCTTTTGTGCATAATTGTTTTTTAGTTGATGTTGAGTTACAACAAGGTCCAATTAGCTTGATGAGAATGTGGAATCTCTAAAATGGAAACACTTGAACAGTGTACATAATTGTGTTTTAACTGATGTTAAGTCCAGCAAGGTCCAATTAGAATGATGAAAATGAAGAATCTCCAAAATGGGAGCACTCAAACAGTTGGTGTATTTTGAGAGTAGAAGATAGTTAGTGATCCAAAAGTTAATGGATCTCAACTTATAAACATGAACTAATAAAAAAATATAGATATTTTTGTCATTTAATTTTATCAGTATCCTTTATATATTCTACAGTAGTTTTTACAATCGAGAGATCTTAAATTAGATGGTCAAATTTATTATCTTTACTTTTCTTAGCATGGATGAACAATCACCAGGAACATCTAGCGTGGTTCTCCAACTGAATGTGTGTCAGTTATGCCATTATTCCATCTAAAAATTCCACGAAGTTGATGTGGTACTGTGCCCCAGTTTTTGGCTAAAATCAATCTACAAGTTGATGGCTGAATGTCATTTCATCATATCTATGGCTTAAAATGGTTAATATGAGTCATTATGTAGTTGGTTCAGTGTCATGTCAGTAATGCAAAATATATTTCAAAAAACACCACATTATCCAATTCTCAAAAAAGTTTCTCCCCAAGTATTTGGGGGTCATTTGCATGAATCCTGTTTCGCTTATTTTCAATATATATATATATATATATATATATATATATTTTTTGACTCTAAGTACAGAAGTTCAATTGAACTACATGCTATTGTATTATTCCTAACTTAACATATGTTATTTTTGCTCTTTTTCTTCCCTTATCATTACTGTGAATAACAAGCATGTCTCTTTTTCGTACATGACTAAAACCAACTTGATCAATTTTCTCTCATTTTACCATCAAATTGGTGCTCCTTCAATCATCTCACGGTGTCAGTAATGCAAAATATATTTCAAAAAACACCACATTATTCAATTATCAAAAAAGTTTCTCCTCAAGTATTTGGGGTCATTTGCATGAATCCTGTTTCTCTTATTTTCAATATTTCTAAGGACAGAAGTTCAATTGAACGACAAGCTATTGTATTATTCCTAACTTAACATATGTTATTTTTGCTCTTTTTCAGTTATAAGCTATTGTTACATGACTAAAACCAACTTGATCAAATTTTTTTCATTTTACCATCAAATTGGTGCTACTTCAATCATCTCACAATGTGTTTATTTCTAATCTTATCCTTTCTTATCTTAACACGTGTCCATTTTTAGAATTGGTATTTCATTACAAGAATGGAATGCTCGGTCAAACTTTTCATTCCTTTTAATTGTTTGGTACCCGAAAGAAATAGAATGCCCATTTCATTGTGATGATTATTTAAAATGGCAGAATCTTCATTCTTATCCATGAGGTAATGAATGGGCATTTCGTTCACAGCAAAATTAAATTTGAAAGATCTAGCTCTACAAATTAAATTAACGACACTTTCTCTTGATCTCAAGTTCAACTTATTGCCAATGGGGTTTGCTCCACATCTGGCAAGGTGTAGCAATGGGTCAGATTATTTATCTTTTCTTTTGTTAGGTTGTGTTTGTTTTCATAACTGTATAGTAATCAAACATGAAATTTGGTTTTGTCGTGCTAAGTTGAAAAAAAAAAAAAATCATAATTCAGTTTTGCCATTTATATCCTGTAAATATGTGTTTTCTCCTTTGCTAGGTTGTCTCATTTTTGTAATGTTAAGTGATTAAACATGAAAATTGATTTATACCAATAAATAAATGAAGAAAAGCATAATTCAATTTTTGGCATTTATATTCTGTAAATTAACAGTTCTAATTCAAGACTAGTCAAATGGCCATTCACCCAAAATTCGCTTAGTTGATACTTGGCTTAGTATTTGGTGTAAGTTGAATTCTGTAGTCATAATTAATAAAGCAGTCATCATCATTATCTTTGTCTTTATCCTGCACAGACTGGGTCATTCACATGGATGATAATTAAGAAAGTTGTATGGTGAATTTAAATGGTTACTGCTGCAGGTCAAGTCAAGAATGATGGGAGATCCCACATACAAAAGTACGCTCGACTGTTTCATCAAAACTTTAAAGAATGATGTAAGTTCATTATAATTCCCACATCCATCTATGAAATATCGATTTGTCTTTTTGTTTCTCCTCTGTTTTGGCCTGTTTTGGTTACTGTTTTTGCTAGAGCAATGGCGTGGAAAGAAATTTTTTTTTTTTTTTTTTTTTTTTAATGTTTCTAATTTCCTTCTCTTCTTGGCTATTTTCTTCTTTTGAGCAATAAACCATCGAGGATGAGAGTGTTTCAATGTTTGACTTTCATATTAAGCTAAGCAGTATTTAAATATGTTATTCTGATGTGGGGATATATAGCTGCATGACAGTTCTTGTTGCCTACTTAAAAGTTCGTGAAAATTTCCGTTACTTTCTGGTTTAAAAAATAAATACTCCGTATCATTTTAGAATGCGCTGGAAGATATTGTTATTTTCTTCCTTACATAAAACGACCAAAAATAAATAAAAATACAATGATGCTGCCTAGTCTAGCATTTATGAGGAATTATCATGCAAATGGTAAAGGTTTACTATTAACACAAATGTAGTAAACATTCAAAACTTTGCAGGGACCTTTGGCTTTCTATAAGGGCTTTATGCCAAATTTTGGACGGCTTGGATCTTGGAACGTGATCATGTTTCTGACCTTGGAGCAGGTAAAAGTAGCGAAGCATTTTGGTACTTGTTATTTTCCCTTTATGGTTTATTATTGGTCCTGCTTCCCCTGGGTGGTAGAAAATTTATTTTCAACTCCATCTTCCACGTGTAACTGAAAATCCAAAAATAGGCATTACAATTTTGAGAATTGAAATATCACAATCAAGAAATAGGGTTGTGATATTCTCTGTATTGGTATGTATGTAGGCTTTATATCTCTCCAGCCACTTTCTAAGAAGAGACATTTTTCTGTTGTCACTTCAACATTAACAGTTAACAATGTATCAAGAAAATGTTGAATTTCCGTTATTCGCTAGCTAATTCTTTCTATTGTCTGATGACAGGCTAAGAAGTTCGTTAGAAGTATAGAATCAGGTTGAGCTTGAAAGTTGGACGAATGAAGCCGGGAACTAGATGATGATGTTTAGAAAAGAAATAAGATTCTCATTTCTTCTTGTTCTCATTTTTTGAGACTCAATAAAGAGTCCTATAAGGGATAGATACATTTTGACTGATCCTCCAAAATTTTGAGGCTTTTAATCAATTTATATTTTATTTTCTCTATCATGAATAAATGCAAGGTTTTTGTGAAGTGGCATGCTATGAAAACAGGGAGAAAATGGTGATGTTGTGTGGTTGTTACTGTTAGATTCAGGATTGGAAATAGGAAGTGTTGGAGAGGAATCATGCCTGAAAACAGAGGGTAAACATATTAATGTGTCAGATAATTCAGTTGTATCTGTTAATCGAGAGCCTCTCCTTGTCCCATTCATCTTCTAGCAGTGATGGCGGACATTCAACAGTGGCTGCATAGTTCTAATGGTTTTTCTGTGACCTTTGCTTCTAGGTCAGCCAATGAAGCTGCCCATGCCTTGGCTCATTTTGGTCCAAGCCAATGAAGCTGCCCATGCCTTGGCTCATTTTGGTCCAAGTATCAAGTGTAATGTTGTTTTCTTTCACTGCTTCCCTCCTGTGTTAATGGAAGCATGTCTAGAGATCGCACCTCTCTTTTTAGTTGCAATGAATTGTCTTCTCTTGCCTTGGGAAATATATATACATGAAAATGCAATATTTCACGAATTTAGATTTGTGATTTTATATTGAATTAGGGGGCTATTTATCTGGCAGTTTATTCGGCTGCTTTGTATATCTTTTAAAAGCAATTTTTTTAATATAGGATAGATCTTAATATAGAAAGAGAGAAGAAATAGCAAAATTTTTCATTATAAAAATTAAGTTATATAACTCAATAATTTGAATTCAATTCTGTTGGAAGACTCATTCTCTTAAAATAATTAAAAGTATAATTTATAATTTTTTTTTTTTTTTTTTTACATTGAATGAGTGATCTCCTTCTCGAACCATATTTATATAATTATATTTTTATTTGGTATTTTATTAAAATTTAAAGAGATATCCAACGAAGATATACAAAACCCAGTGTAATTTTTGTTCTTACTTTTTCTTTCCATTATGAATTTGTTTAGTCATGTTAAAATATGAAACATAAATGTATAAAAGAATAAAGTGTAATAGGTATTAAAATATATTTTCCATGTTAGATTCAAGATAAAATCTCGATTAACTCCTTTTTATTACTTAGTAATATTTTCTTTAACATAAACTTTAATCACATTAAACCAAGTTATTTCTTGAAAATATAAGTTTTAAGAGCATTCTTATGGAGTTGCATGTCAAGTTCATTTACTATAAGTGTCCTTTGTACCTTCATGGTAAAGTTTTTAAATTCTTAATATAATCTAAATAATAAGAATATATATTTTAAAATTTTGAAAAAAATTAATAATTTAAATAAACAAAAAGAACAAACCTAAGAAGCATGGATACGGGATACGAGTATGACACAATACCAATACCAGTACAACAATAATGCAAATCTTAAAAAAATAAAAAATAAAAAGAAGATACCAATAGAATAGGATATGACAATAAATTTAAAATTTGTATTTATATATATAAATTAAATTTTTTTGTCAATTATTGTAAAATTGTGAATTTAAATGCAATCATTAATATAATCTAAATTTTGTACTAAATCATGATATATATATTGATAATTTATTTAATAAAAAAGTAAAATTTGAACTTTTCTTAACAACTATAGCATGATATTGTCGTAGGAAAAGCTATATTTTAATTTTCAAAAATACTTAAAAAATATTTTTTATTTTTAAATATTTGAAAAGTAATGTCAAAGTTTGTGAGAGGTATCATATACTTAAAAATATATATTTAAAAATTATGAATACATTTAAGAGGTATTGAAATACGAGTATCCAAAGAGTATCCATATTTGATAGTGTATCACTCCTACAAGTAGAACAAACTAATCTGAAATAGACAAATAAAGGAAGGAAAAAAAAAAAATACATTTTTAGTTTATAAAATGAGGTCATCAAGGATCCGTTTGTTTGAACCTAAAATATTTTTTTAAAAAATATTTTTTGTCTTTTTTTGGTGTTTGGTCATTGTTCATAAAATATGTATGAAGAAAATAAATATTAAAACTTAACAAAAATAATTTATTTATCAATTTTCGAAAAGCCATTTTATACACTCCACTTGATAGATTTCACCTCAATCTCGACTTAAACCTTTACAAAATACAATAAAAATAAAAAGGAAATATTTTCCGACAAAACAAACAGTATTTTCCTCTTTAAACTTATATAGATAATACTAATATATATACTCCTATCACGCTCAACCCTAAACAAGATTTTTCAGCAAAAAATGGGAGGGTTAACATGTATATATATATTTTTTTCTCTCAAATTTACTGTTAATAATTATTAGGTGGACCCTAAACAAGAATTTTGAGAACTATTTGGAAGGATCATGGCCCATGGCTCGGCCCTTGCGAACCCTGGTCCGTGTCCACTGTCCACCCTAAGTAGGAATGGAGATATAAAGTGCAGAACAGCAGATTATACATACAACTCTCCCTCTCTGGGGATCGATCGAGTACCGTCGCGGTTGGAAAGCCAGAACCTGTCCAGAGGCTAACTATACTCTCCAACACCTCCATCTTCATCAAAGGTTAGATCTTCACTATTCATTCCTTCATTCTTCTTCTTGTTAACTCAGGTGTGGACTTCTCAGTTTTGATTCCGTCAAAAAAATTCTTACATATCAATGTCTGTAATAGTATTAAGCAGCTTTTAGGTTAGGGTTTCTGATAGGGCTTGATCCCGAGGATTTTTTCAGGTCTATTATTTTTATTATTTATCTCTTGATGTTTTATGCCGTTTCCTTTTTTCTTCTTCTTCTTCTTCTTCTTCTTCTTCTTCTCCTGATTTAACTGTATATGTAGGGGAATAGGCGTTGATTTATATCTGTATTGAATATAATGAAGAAACTTAGAAACAAAAACTGCAAAAAACACATATTCCAGTCTCTCACAATACAAAAGGCACACTCTTAAAGCAGTGTCCTTATTAGCTCTCAACAAACTATAGTAATCAAGGCTACACACTTTCATCTTGGAGATGTATAGAAAATAAGAGACTGGATGTAAGAGCAGCAAACCCATTTTAATTGGATATCATTGGAGACTTGAGTACATCTCACAATGTAATACTGTGATATGTTTAGAAATTATATATATATAAATGCATGTTTTGTTGAGCATGAATCACAAATTCCTCAACAGAAATCAGTTATGAGATTGACAATTGCCAAATTAGCAGGATCCCAGATGAATAAAAAGGTGTTTTATTTTTTCTTCTTTGAATTTTTTTTTATTTTTATTTTTTATTATTATTTTTATCATAGGTGTAAATTCTAAAGATTCAAAACACCCCCTTTTCAATAAGACCTATATTTGTTCTAACAAATTTTGTGAAACTATTAGGGAAGCTTATGTAATATCTTCTTCTTTTTTTCTTTTTCTTTTTTTTTCTAATTCAGTTACTTATTTGCTATTATAATTTTATTGGTGTTATTTTAGTTAAGTGGTGAAGCAAAATCTAGGAATTTAACTGAGTAGGAAAAAAGTTCATTGAGTAGAAAACAGAAAATATTAAAGTTAAAGAACTCCGGTCATTTTTTAATTTGGATATGTAATGGCTTAAGGTTTATCTTTATGTTTTTATTTTGGACTGCGGTATATTAAATTTTATTAATTCGAATTAGTAGTGTTAAAATATTATTTGAGTTAATGTCTAATTCACAATTGGACAATTAAAATTTGTCCGAGGTGGGAAGGTGTATTATTTCAATTTGATTGAAAGGTGCTTCAGTTTCCTATCAGTTTGTGAATAGAAGGGTTTACTGATTGCAATAGTTATATGTATGTATGTATGTATGTATACATACCCTGGTGGTACAGGAAGAAAAAAAGAAAAGAAACATGCTGGACCCCTTTGTGGGTTGCCTTGTTTATTGGAGTTTTAGTCAGCTTACAATTGGGGAATAGGTGCGTTGGTGGTGCAATGTTTAAAAAAATATATATACAAGGTGTTTAGATTAGTTCAGTGCACTTGGTCTTTGACTCTTCATTAGATGTATAAGTAAAGGGGGGAAAAAAAAACAGAGAAGCTGAGAACGGTGCCCCTCATCTTTTTTCAATCTTCTATCTAAATTTTAGATACGTATCAGTGGGATTTTGCAAGAAGTCAGAGAACAGAAGTTGCTCTTCTAATCATTCTTTACATGCCTATGGTTCAAAAATCTCGATTTGGAGTAGTTTTGAAATTTTGGTAAAGTGGGTCTAACTTGTGAGGTAAGGGTATATTAACCCTAATAACCCATAATTATATGATTTGCCTTTTCTCGTAGTTTTTATTTTATTTTATTGAATAGCATGTTATATATATGTGGTGGAAGATTTTAATTGTTGTTCATATATTTGGTTGGGTCTTGGTGTGGTTGAATTGTTTTAAAGTGAGGTTATTTTGTGTTTTAATTTGTGTGTTGATTGAGAATATATTGTTAGTTGCTATATATATGGAGTTTTAAATGCTGGTTTTTGATATATTTGAGAATTAATGTAGTCAAGGTGTTTGATAAAATACTTCATTGAGTGGTTCCATGCTTCGAGTGGTTTTGACTTACCTTTTTGATGTACTATTTAATAAAAGGGAAATAAGGAAGCATGAATATGGGCTGAATTTATATTTTAACATACTTGGTGATGAATGTGTGGAATTTGGTTTGAGTGTAATTGATTAGTTGATGGGGTTGTGCCGGAAAAGCAAGGTAGGGCTTGGTGCCGAGACTTGTCACATGAAAAAAAAAACTGCTGCATGTTTGATAACGAATGCTCATGAGACTTTTATATGGCTATCTGCCGTATATGCATATACTCAAGTGTATATGGTGTGAAGGCCACCTATATAGATTAATGATTAATGCTTGGATACTAGAATATGGTTAGGTGGCGAACACGTTTTCTAAACTTATGACCCAAATTTGTATATGCACTGGTGGGAGGTGAAAGAGGCTGTGAGTTGCGTCACTGTTTACTTGAACAAGGTATCCTAATGAGGTTTATTGCTATGTGGCAAAAAAAAAGGAAGAAAAGAAGTTTAATTAAATATAATATTAGAATAATTGAATGAAATAAAAGAATGGTCCAAGTTGTGTAAGGTTGTATTAAGATTTGGTTCTTAATTTCCTTTATATTTTATCACTAACCGGTTTTTGGAAACCGGGGTGTGATAGCTTAGCAATTTAATTGGGTGAGCAGTTTGCTTTGGGATCCAATTCCTTTGCCAATTTGATGGTACTGCTTCTTTAATAATACCAAATTTCTCGGCTTTTTAAGGTTGGCCTATCGATATTTGATGTTATCTGAGATATTTGATTGAGTTTTACAGAAATCAGAATAATCAATTTTTTGGTTGTTCACTCAATGGAAATTCTTAGGTCATGGAAGAACGCAATATGGTATAAGTTTCAAGTTCTGACAAATCTTTATAGGTCAAATATGTAACTTTGTAAATATATTTTCTGCTTCTTTCTTCAAGGAAATTGGCTTTGCATCATACATTCACCTGACCAGTTAGTGTAGAAAGGTTGCATTCCATAACGCTTTTGGCCTTTTGGGGATAATGACAACATTGAGCTCCTAAATCCTAAGTTTCTAATTATGCCATCATTTGTGTAATCTGATAGCTGTCACTTTTTCATCCAAAGAAAAAGAAGATAAAAGGGTAAGTTAACATTGAGGAGAAGGGAGGCGATTTGACTACCATGCAATAAAAACTAGAGCCTATACAGATCAAACAAGGGTAAGAGAGTTTTATCACCCGTCGTCATCCTAGCAGACACAAGCTTTAGTTTGACCAATACAATTGATTTCAATCTATAAGAAAGTGCATTTCTCATTGTTGTTTCTTTTTTCCTTACCAGTCCATTGAAATGCTTATTTCTTGATTCTTCTGCTGGAGAAGAACTCAATTCCCTCATTTTTACTTGAGGATTTGAAGCTGACCTTACTAGACGGGAATAGAGTGGAAGGGAATAGTTGGAAGATGCTTCAGATCCGGCTTAGCAATCCAGCCTCAGAAGGTGGTGGAGGGGCAAAGGCTTTGCCAGTGGACACTGTGACGGTTGCATGCCCTGACCACCTTGTTCTTGCTGATCTTCCTGTGGCCAAGAGCATCGGTTCGGCAACTGCAGGTTCCCTTGTGAAGACCGTAGGTCGCAGGTCCCGCCGCCAGCTTGGAGAGCGAGTTCATTTCTGTGTGCGATGTGATTTTCCAATTGCAATATATGGACGTCTGGTGCGTACAATATATGAGTAATATCTTGATCTTGTTTCCTGCTCAAGCTTAGACTCAGTCTCAAATCTGATTTGAGGGTGTTATGTGGAATATCTTTTAGTTGATTTGCTTTTTATGTCAAGTATGCAGACTCAATTGTGATACTTTGTTCTCTTCATGTGTCCTTTATCAATGGAATACTAATTTCTGGTGGAAGGACAAATTAGTTGAAGAAAACTGAGGGAAAAGAAGGAAAGTAAACTTGTACCTAATTAATCAAAGTTAAAGGAAAATCCTTGGTAAACCTGTACCTCGTTGATCAAAGTTTGCCTCAGTTATTATTTTCTCTTGTAATGAGGGATGTCGGGTTGGTTTTATCTTTCCTTCTTTTTTTCCAGTTCACTTTTTAAGCCCTAAATTTATTGGATGCTTTTTTTTTTTTTTTTTTTTTTTTGATAGAGAGGACACTCTTAATCATATATGACATTCTAATGTTCAGATACCCTTTGTTCAGACCATAATTTTTTCTATGCAATGAGGGGGAACTTTTCTTATAGTATCTAAGTGGGGGCAGTGGCCCCCCTTGCAAATTGGTCCTTCCTGTTTCATACCTGCTACATGCCTGCTAAAAGTCTTTAGAACTTGATTTGATTTTTTGTATATTCAAGTATTAAGAAGTTTATGTTCTTGCAGAGCCCGTGTGAGCACGCTTTCTGTCTCGATTGCGCAAGAAGTGATTCTATCTGCTATCTGTAAGGCTTATTTCTGATAACTATGCATCTATATATATATATATATATATATATATATATATATATATATATTTTTTTTTTTCAACAAAAAAATGTCTGATATACATGCTTTTATGTTATCAATCTTGCACCTTATTCTTCATATGATAATTGAAATAGGGAATTTTTATTCTAAATGCAAGTCTTCCTTGTGATTTAAAGTACATTTTTCTTTTGGGTTGCCTTTTCATGCATTACTTTCTTCCTTGTGTGCTATCTTCCTGGAGTGTGTGATGGGAGTAGAATAGAAATATTAGAGGTCGTGACTTGTGAAAATGGATTCTTTACTCTTTTATGTATTTCTCAATTGATTTTAATGTCTTGGTGATGTCCTGATTCTTTGCTCTTTTATGTATTTCAATTGATTTGAGTTCTATAAATGGATTGTACTTTTGTGACTGTCGTACACCTCTTGTGCACAGGCTGTTGTGACCCCTTTGGCTCTATTTGAATATAATACAATGTTTACTTATTGAAGAAGAAATATTTATACCCGTGTGAATGGTTGAAGTCCCAAGTCTCTGTTTCTTTGATGATTCTGAATACGTGGTTGGACCACTTCCATGGAGGTCCTTTTTAAATTTTTGAGTTTAATTTACCTTTGTTTTTGTGCCAAACACCCTTCTACATGCACTTGCTTCACATGCTAGATTTTACATGGTGTACGTAATAGATTTTTGTTCCTCTTTGTTATTAATTGGGATTTCTCTTTTCCCTGATCATGGACTTGCCGTCCTTTATAGATGCCATTCTGGTACTTTAACAACTGTGCTACGATTGCTTTTTACTTTAACTGGGAGCATGTGACTATTGTCTTTGTTGTAAAGGGGCATCCAACCTTCACCTTTATATGATGGAGTTACCGAACGACATTATCCATTCAGGAATAAAGATTAATTCCCATTTCCCACGCCTATGGACTTGGCCTGGAATAGTATTACCCGGAGAAGAGAAATTTGTGTTACAAAGTAATTTTAAAGTTATTTCTCATTATATTCTTTTCACCTGGTCAAATTGTTGCTCGTCTATGAAGTTTATTATATCAGAACAAAAATACCTAGAATATTGCGTGCTTTCATAAATACTCAGATGAGCTTGTCAAATAAGCAGGTGCAAGCAAATTATGGTTCTATATTCTATTCCAATTCCTTATATATTCGTGTGGAATCTCATTGGTAGCCTTGGTAGGGTTGAACTGTCATTACTGTTGTATAGCACCTGTAAAAAAAATTGATTTACCAACATATGTCATCACTGTGAACACATCTTTTAAACTTTAAACGGCTTTAAGCCTTTAACGTAGGCTGTTTACTTAGATGTTTATCCCACTTCCATTCTACAACTTCGTAGTCACATGCACTAGAATGCATGAATAGTGTGATAAATGGATTAAGCAATTGTGTCTTATCTTTTCTATTACACAGTTGTGATGAACGTATTCAGAAGATTCAGACGATCAAAATGATGGAAGGAATCTTCATCTGTGCAGCCCCTCATTGTCTCAAGTCCTTCCTAAAGAAGTCTGAATTTGAATCTCACATTCACAGGACCCATGCTGACCTTCTCCAGCCCAATAGAGAGAAAGAAGATGTAAATGAATCAGAGGGTGTCAGTGCCAAACAATCTACAGCTTTAGATTCCACTGGTCGAGCACCAACAAGGCCAGTCTTCTCTCCTAATTCAAGTTCTCAGGTTAATGATCGTGAAGACAAGGCTTCTCGTTCGCAACCCAGAGACCAACCACCTCCCAGGTCAATTGTACTGCCAAAGCCACCCCAACCACTTTTTGGGCAAATTCAAAGTCATCCATCAGAACCTCAAACAGAAAACAACCGTCCACAAGGCTTTGACAGGCCTGGGTCCCACAACCCTTACCCTCAGCAGGGCTTTGGCACACAGGGTGGCCTGCAGCAAGAATCTGGCCAGTTATTGGACAAGCAGCAAGGAATTCTATCTGAGATTCCATTTTCTGAATATTCCCCTATGTCTGCCCATCCACCACCCAATTATGCGGTCCCCATAAATTCAAATCCAGTTCTGGCGCCGCCTCCATTTGGTTACCCTCCTTTTCCACCTGAGGGAGCTCGACCCTTTTATGGTGCTCCCTATGAGATGGCACGGCCAGATTCAGCGCCTGAAGTTGGATCAGAACAGGGGTCCTTGTTGGGTTTTCCACCAGGTCCAGCAGGGGGGGTGAATTTCTCAGACGGTTATCCTCGGCCATGGATTATGGGACCGGCTGGTGTACCTTTTCAAGCTTATATAGCTGGTCAGGGAATTGAGGATGGTTCTGCGAACATGTCAGATTCTCAAGGAAGAGTTGCATATTTTCATAGTGATTATGGTCGGGATACTGGAGTTCTGGCCTCAAATATGCCTCCCTCTTCAGCTAACAAGGGGATGGAACCAGTACAGGATGCTATGGAACCAAGGGATAGCAGGGGTATACTGGCACCACAGCCCCTGCCACACCCACCACTGCCTCCACCACCCCCTCCTCATTTGTCACAACAGCTCAAACGAGCTGGTCGTGATGGACAGAACTTTGGGTGGCAGAATGAGAAGCGTGATAGCTTTGGAAGTGGCCAGGATTTGTGAAGCTGCTGGTTTCTTTTTGTTCTATCGTGTGCTTTTTCCTTTTGGAACTCTTATTGCATTATCTATTAATACATGGTCTGTATTTCCTGGTTCAGTGATCATTTTATTTTCTTCTTTTCTGCTGTTATCCAAATTTTGTTGTATAAACAATTTTGATGTCAACAGTACAGCTTTAATCGATATAAATATTGCAATGGGAAAAAAAGAATGTGGAGCATCTTTCAGAGACACTTGGCTGATTCAACAGTTAGTGGTGGGCCGGTGGTTTGCTGAGGTTGGCACTTAGCATCAGTTCCCAAACGAAGTGAACGTAATAGTCAAAATACTCTGAAACCCCATAACACACGCAACAAACTTTACACATTTGAATCCCCAACCTCCCATCTGATACAGATATTTAGATCCATTATTGCTCAAGTGAAGGTTTGAACCCAGATATCACTAGACCTAGACCATTGTAGTACGGGGTAATGTTGCTTGCTCAAAACATTATACAATGATAAGTTTGAAGCCTAGCTAAACATGGGTTTTGACATCTTAAACCTAAAGTTTTTTTTGACATACACATTTTGAGAATGAGCCATGCTAAATCTGCTGAGTCGCAACATTTGTGACTCGGCACAAATATGTGGCTCAGGGGAGGTTTGGAATGACATCATTCAATTATCTTCCTAATGAGAAACTACATATTGGAAGTTTGTATTTGAAAAACAAAACAATATAAAGTAAATCCAATGACAAGATTTTACAATGATAATATCAGTTCAATTATATTACAAAAAAAAAAAAAAAAAATCTCCCTGGGTGTTAAAATCAGGTACAAGCACCTTCCATTCAGAAGCAATTTCGTCTGTACATGAAAATGATGATACAGAAGCGAAAAAATTATTTTTGCAATCCACCCCCAAAAAGCTCAGGAAGAACTTTGTCACACCCAACTTAAGCATTCCTTTGTGTCTTCCAAAAACAAGCCAGCCAAAAAAAAAAAAAAAAAAACTCAGCTTAATTTCTTTTTCTCCAAAATCCATCTTCGAACCTTGCCAACACACTCCTCATCAAATCTCACATACAGCTGCTGCAAATTCCTGTACCCCATTAATACGTATCTATCAATATGGTCTTCAAACTTTTCATATAGTGCTGGAATTGTAAGAACAATAACAAGGCCTGCCATGAAGGAAATTGGACATACAAGGATGAGAATCATATATATGGAAATAGAATTGAGAATTCCAAATTCATTCCAGAATTCAGGAAAAACAAAGTCACACTTGGAATTTTGGCATTTTCAATGACTGAGGATGGGTTATATGTTATTAGAATGAAATCAAATAGAACTTACTAGTGTAGCCTAGTGTAAGGAAATCTGTCAAGCCCCCAACAATAGATATTAGCCAAAGATATGCAGCTACTTTGAAAAACATTCCGGAGTCCTTGCCGAGGGCAATATCATGGGACACAGAGAGCAATGCATTTACGCGATCACGGATGAAAGCTGCCACTTCATTCACCATTTCTTCTGAGAGGTATAGGTCTGGTAGTGGTGGAGCAGGACTGTTGAAGACCATTTACAAGAATTAGAAGCAGTTTAACATTTGATTTAGTGCTATTGACGGTTTATTTATTTATTTATAAATAAGCATGGCATATCAAAGTTCTGATTGATAATTTTAATTTAAAATCAAGTGACAGAACTTTCCAGAAAGATTTCAGATGATGCAAGTATAATCATACAAAATCCATATTCAACCAAACTTAAACATGAGAAACTACTAGTTGCTTCAATCTGATATCCAACTGTTCAATACAATATGAAATTGTAGATCAGCAACAAAATCCTCCAAATATTAGGCTAAGTAATCAAGTTGGACCTGAATTAAAGATGAACCAAATAGAGAAAATGATGGTACATCTAATCTCCGATATATCTCCTTCTTTATAGATTACTGCTTGCTATTTAAGATACATAAAGAAAATGATGGTACATCTAAATGAGACGTTTCACGAGAAAGAAATGATAGACGAATATTTGAAGTCATTATCTGCTATCCTTTTGATATGTGTGTAATTAACTATGCCATCCGATTGAAGTGAGTTTCTAAATAACTCAATTAAGGGGTCCTCTAAATCATCTAAAGCATCCAACACTTGGCTTTATTTAGGATCACTTGTAATAATAAAAATTTAAAACTCAGCATTTTTATCAGATGTCTCTCTTGATATAAAAAATCTTTTTTCCTAAAGACAGAGCTCCATCCATATATTGAAATCATACATACGTTTTCCCATCTGAGTTCCACATTTTTATCTCCTTTTTTTTTTTTTTTTTCATTAGATAGATACACATTTTCATCTCTCATGCATATGAGCAGTAAATGTGGCAACAATGGACAAAGAGAATCTCAGCAGCCTTAGATATTAATATGTAAGACATGTATCAAAGCAAATTTCTGAAAATTCCGACTGCAGTAAATCAAGCTTCATATATCCATCCAACAAACCACTTATTAAACCAATTGAGACCTCCCAAGTCACAATGCATATTCTTTTCCAACTTTAAAAGGCAAATTAAATTACTCCGTAATCATATCAAATTTGCAAACCATAAAACGAATGATGAAGGAATTATATAGGTAATATAGGAAAATGAACACCCTAAAAGCAAGACGAATTATTTCACATGACAACACATTGTTTACTATATACATAACATGAATGCCACCTAATTATCTTGAATTGCTTAAATGTCATATGCTTTTGGTTCCACAACACTAAAAATAAATCAAAGCTAAGCTAATTAAAAAAAGATTACCGGTTTAGAATTGCTGCGGATTTGGCCCAGAGAAAAAGAATGCCAATTAGGAGCAAGAGAACACTAGAGACAAGTGATAATAATGTATAACCAGATCTCTCAAATACCACCCAAGCAGCTAGAGTTACCACTAGTATTCCCACTGTTATATTTTTTTGCCTCCACAGCATCACATCTGCAACTGTTTATATATAAACAAACACAAGTATAAAACCTCTTGTCCCCATAAACCTTAAATCAGATTGTATTATACCAACAACCATCACCAGGTTCAAGATAAGTCCTATATAAATAGTCATTAAATTTAGTACAATTTAAGAAACAAATTTGTAATAAACCTTAATGACAATAACATAACTTAATATTTTCTAATTGTTCAACCAACTAATCCAATTAATAACATAATAATCAAACTCAGAAACAACCATTTGTCATCCCCATTCCATAATCAGATAAAAGTTTAGCCCTGATCTATATTAATATATTTATTCTAACGAAGCTTAAAACTGATACACACATATATTTCAGTATGAATATATGGAGTACATATACATACATAAAATGAAGATAATTCCGATTATGAATAAAAAACCTTAAACCCATGATCGGAAATGAGATGAAATAAAGAGTGAATTGATCATAAACTTACCAACTCCTCCTCCAAGGATCTGATGAACAGTTCTTTGCCGATTAAACAATCGATCCGATGAACCCATTTGATAAGACTGAAAGCAAACACGACCCACGATTTCAAAAAAGATAACTTCTACAATAAAAATAAAAAGATCGAAAGCTTTGATGATGATCTACAGGTTGAAATTTTGGAAAATATGAAGTAAAGTGTTTTCTACAGTAAAGCTTTCGACCCACCTCTATCTATATAGTTATATATATGCAAGTATAAGTACGTGTGTTTGATGAGGTGAATGTAGCAAGGTGGGGTTTGTGGTTCTCAATTTCCAGCCCAAAAGCGTGAAAGCATACTCATAGTCATAGCTTTATTTCCTTCTTCTCTGTTTGTTTACCCTGCCCACAATATTTGTATTCAATATATGGATATACAAATACAATACATATATAATATATATTTAATGGAAGAGAGAGAGAGTTTAAAGAAAAAGACATTCCTGCTGTCTGACTGCTTGAATGCATGTGGGCTGCTCCTTATTAAAGAAAAATACAAAATTTTAACCCTTTTTTATTGTTTTTTAAACGGGTTGGAGTTTTGAAAGTAATTCTTCCATTGACGAGGGTATATTCGTCCATAAATTATCAACCCACCCACTTTTCAGTTTTCACAGTCCAATTAAGGACAATGGTAGCGATTACAGGCCATAAACACCTGGCGTTAACAAGTTTGTTATCACAAATTGTAGTAACACTCTGTTATAGTATACAAAAGCAGTAATAATTATGATAATGCAGTCTTTAAAAATAAAATAACTGCTTACATCCTGTTATAGAATGGGATACCAAGTCCAAATTAATTACCCAAATAAGGAGTGAATCCAAATCTGTAAAATAATAATTAAAAAAAATTTAACAGCAAAAAAAGTCCAATACTGTAACCCCTATCTCCATTAATGAAAAAGTAACCTAGCATTGGTAACGTTACTAAACCTATTGAATAAAAGGATTTTTATGAGTATAATATAAGAGTTGACTTGAACCCCACTCTTGTCTTTTTTGCTTACTCTTCTAAAGAATAACTGATATATATATATATATATATATATATATATATATATATATATATTACATGATTATGATTTATTACACTTTTTACCTCCCACCCAATTCTACCACACCATGTGGCTACTCAAAAGCCACAATGGGATTCTGTTTACAACCTAAGCATAATCGTTCATGCTTATTCAAAGTGATCTAAAGTATAACAAGCCAAATTCTTTCGATGATTTAGATGCATATGAAATGTGTACTATCGCATATCTATAGCATGCAGTCATTTGCCTGAGGTTCATATCTAGGAAAGCATACTTTCTTGAGAAAGTTAGATTCACTAGAAGCAATCCTTCACAATACTAATAATCCTTGTTATTAAAACAATTCAAACAAAAATATCTACATATAACCATCGGTTAAACCTGTAATAACTGTCTGATATCCGTGGTTTGCAAGTGATTGTAGACATCTGTAGTTTACACGACTTGTTGGAACGGTTTCACATTGCCGTCGTCATCCTAAAAATAAAATAAAAAACTGTAGCTGAAACCGCAAAAGCTGCCATTGTTTTAGTGGAAGCTGAGAGGTTCTTTTGTTATTTAAGGTTCTACAATATTAAATTAACACGAATGGATTTGAGTAAATTAAAGATGTATATACTGCACATCCAATGACGCTCGTGCCATGGTTTTGACTTGTGACTTCAACGTTCAACCCTCATCCAAGAGAGATCATACCATGACCCCTGCAAACACACATATCTAAAAAAATCCTTCCTCTCATTCTTTTTCCCCACTGATGTTCTTATTTTCATCTTGTGACATGCTGGGTAGGGCACTGCCCGTGGCTGGGGTGGATTCCAACAAGCTAGCAGCTATTGCAGCCTTCAAGTCCTCGTCTTCTGCATCTAAGAGCAATTCTGCTTCCCCGTACTCAAGAGATGGATCAGAAAGCTGTTGAGTAAGACCAGTTCTGTGGGGTGGTCTTTGGACTGAGTTGCTTGATTTAGTTATCCTCTCTGCATCTTCAGGTGACAGCCACTGCCCAAAACCATTAGAAGCTTCAAAGGATGCGATGGAGCACTCCTTGGGGAAGTTCCCCCTCACCAGGAAAATGCTCCAACCAAAGCCTTTTAGAGTGTCCAGAGAGGCTGAGAGGTAAAATTTGGAGAGGTGCTCAGGGGCCGCATAGAGACTGTCAAAGTTGTACCACTCTCCATTCACTTTCCTAATACAGAACCAATGATCCTGTAAATGACAGATAAATGCATTTTCAAGCTCGGGATCAATCTGAGCAGGCTCCGCAACTGGGCAGTCGAGTGGTATCACTTGCAGATCCCACACCTCCAATGCCTTTTGTAGAACCTGCACAAAGAAATTTCACATTAGCCAATAGAATTTTTGGAATAATCACACTAAACAACACTGCGTGCAGAAAGGGCAGGCAATCATTCACTTTGACCATCGAAACGACATGTCATTTGTCTAACATAAACTAACTTCAATGGAAGTGGAAACACTTTGGCTGTAAATTGCATGCAGAATCACATAAAATTCATATCACACATTTTCTGGTAAAAGAGAACACCATTTCTTAAATCAATTAAACTGAGGAAACGACCAGAGGACTCCAACACTGCTGTGCTTATAAACAAAAACCCAAGGTCGTACAAAGCAACTAACAGACTAATGCTTGAACCAAACACCTGCTCTCAAACCCAAGTAAGAGCACTTATTTGGGTACAAAGACGGTATCCCATTTTTATTTTTATTTTCTTTTTTCTTTTTTCGGGCACAACTATTTGATAATATCTAACTAATAAACCAAAAAATATTCTCAAAATTTAGAAAATCAAGGCAAAAAAAATAACTTTTCAAACTAATAAGTTACACAAATTAGTTAGGGAAAAAAAATAGGAAAATCCAATACCTAACTACATTATAAGTATCCAATCTAATAAAGTGAATAACTTGCGCATGCGTAGGATACAAACATAGTTATCATATTGAAGTTCATTAGGAAGTTGACAAGATCTTCTAGTCCCACACCGATGTCATATAAAAAAAGTGGGGAAGATGGCATCTACATATTCTTGCCGCTGTCACTCCGTTTCCATCACATCAAAATTTCAAGCTTGACCATACCTTGCAATAGGTGGTTCTATATAAGGATGCTAAGAAGGTTTGGCATATGATGAGGAGCTCTACACACAGTCACGCAAAGGCTAGTTAAATAAGAAGGTAGTTTAGTGGCCGCCAAATCACTCTTTGGATCAACTAGACCACACATGATTGTGCATGGAGAACTACTCATTACATTTGAACCCTGATAATAATAATAGACGATTAAAGAAAGGAGGAGGTGAACATTTGAGAGCAATGTGACTTGCCTCGACTTTAAACTTGTCTAAGTCTAATCTACAGGTGCATAGGTGATCATAGGCAATAAAATTGCAAACTGGTATAATTGGGCCAACCCCGACCATTTGGCCAGAATATGGATAAAAATCATCCATGCTTCATTTGATCTTGTAAATCAAGCTAAAAGTAACCTTGACCAACAACTAGCAGCCCGCCTATCCCCAAGAACAATATTGCCTACATATTTAGTCAATGTCAGACTGTTACATTACTTATTATAGTTTCTCAAAACTTATATTGTAATTTTTTTTATCAAATTCTGCTAACCACACAAAGAAAAACACTTCGCCACATCGAAATTTCAAGCTGAACCATAACTTGCAATAGGTAGATCTATATAAGGATGCTAAGAAGGTTTGGCATATGATGAGGGGCTCTACACACAGTCACGCAAAGCCAAGTTAAATATGAGGTAGTTTAGCGGCTGCCAAATCACTCTTTGGTTCAACTAGACCACACATGATTGTGCATGGAGAACTACTCATTACATTTGAACTCTACTAATAACAACAGAATTAAAAAAAGGAGGAGGTGAACATTTGAGAGCAATGTGACTTGCTTAGACTTTAAACTTGTCCAAGTCTAATCTACAGGTACATAGGTGCTCATAGGCAATAAAATTGCAAACTGGTATAATTGGGCCAACCCCAATCATTTGGCCAGAAAATGGATAAAAATCATCCATGCTTTATTCGATCTTGTAAATCTAGCTTCAATTTCAAACTTAAGCTTAAAGTAACCTTGACCAATAACTAGCAGCCCGCCTATCCCCAAGAAAAATATTGCCAACATATTTAGTCAATGTCAACTGTTATATTACTTATATATATAGTTTCTCAAAACTTTTTTTTTTTTTGATAAGTATATAGTTTCTCAAAACTTATATTGTCATTTTTTTTTTTTTTTTTATCAAATTCTGCTAACCACACAAAGAAAAACACTCCGTCACATCAAAATTTCAAGCTGGACCATACCTTGCAATAGGTGGTTCTATATAAGGATGCTAAGAAGGTTTGGCCAATGATGAGGAGCTCTACACACAGTCACGCAGAGCCTAGTTAAATATGGGGTAGTTTAACGGCTGCCAAATCACTCTTTGGATCAACTAGACCACACATGATTGTCCATGGAGAACTACTCATTACATTTGAACCCTAATAATAACAGCAGGTGATTAAAGAAAGGAGGAGGTGAACATTTGAGTGACTTGCTTACTTTAAAATTGTCTAACTCTAATCTACAGGTGCATGGGTGCTCATAGGAAATAATTGGGCCAACCCCAACCATTTCGCCAGAAAATGGATAAAAATCATCCGTGCTTTATTTGATCTTGTAAATCAAGCTTCAATTTCGAACTTAAGCTTAAAGTAACCTTGACCAATAACTAGCAGCCCGCCTATCCCCAAGAACAATATTGCCTACATATTTAGTCAATGTCAGACTGTTATATTACTTATATGTATAGTTTCTCAAAACTTATATTGTAATTTTTTTTTATCAAATTCTGCTAACCACACAAAGAAAAACACTCAGTCACATCAAAATTTCAAGCTGGACCATACCTTGCAATAGATGGTCCTATATAAGGATGCTAAGAAGGTTTGGCCTATGATGAGGAGCTCTACACACAGTCACGCAAAGCCTAGTTAAATATGGGGTAGTTTAGCGGCTGCCAAATCACTCTTTGGATCAAGTAAACCACACATGATTGTGAATGGAGAACTACTCATTATATTTGAACCCTAATAATAACAACAGGCGATTAAAGAAAGGAGGAGGTGAACATTTGAAAGCAATGTGACTTCCTTAAGACTTTAAAATTGTGTAACTCTAATCTACAGGTGCATGGGTGCTCATAGGAAATAAAATTGCAAACTGGTATAATTGGGCCAACCCCAACCATTTGGCCAGAAAATGGATAAAAATCATCCATCATGCTTTATTCAATCTTGTAAATTCAGCTAAAATTTCAAACTTAAGCTTAAAGTAACCTTGACCAATAACTAGCAGCCTGCCTACCCCCAAGAACAATATTGCCTACATATTTGGTCAATGTCAGACTGTTATATTACTTGTATATATAGTTTCTCAAAACTAATATTTTAACTTTTTATTTAATCGGATTCTGCTAACCACACAAAGAAAAACACTTTAGAACCCCACCTGTCATATAACCACCTTCCCCTCTCAATCACTTGCCAATCTGTAATAAAACAATACCATCCAAAAAATCCGTATAAGAACAGAACTCCCAATCTTGAAAATACCTCCAGAATGTGGATTCTAAAATACTCCATTGTGTTTCCTATACAAAAATCGGAAGACCATTACATCTTTTGGAACCTAATGGACCCTGCTAATCATGCTAGGAACAAACAATGCTACCTGCATGTATTTTAAATAACCTTTGTAGCAGGGGCCAGAACGTAGATTGATAAGCATGTCATAATTGTAATATATGTAGAGTGAGATAGATATAGATATACTAAATCTTCAGTGTTCACTAAACAATATCAAATCAAGATGATATTGATTTTTCAGAATCATGAAGAACAAGAATTTCAGATAAGACTGGGAAACAACAACATTGGTCTGGGAATAGTAAAATGTAAAGAGGCTCAGGCTGAATTTCTTTATGCAGATTTGCATTAAATTTGGAACCCAATATGTAGAATTCATCAATCTAGTCTTTATCGTGCGGATTATATCTCTGTTAAAACTACGCTTCAATTCCGAATCACGAAGTGTAAAAAGTAACCAAGCAGAAGAATTGAATTAAGACTCAAACTCCAATAGGCCCTTTCCCCGTATTTTAATTCAAAGAAACATGTTTTATTTTCAGAATGTTTCGTGGAAATAAAATGCATAAAGTTGCAAGCGAATTTTAATAAAATATATCGAATTAATTGCTATGAGTAAAAAAAATGGTCATTTAGAATGAGTAAACCATGACCTAATAACCCTCCAACAAATATAACTAAAAATCGATCTTTACAACACAAACTGCTCCTTTATTAGGTCAAACAAAAATCCACCCCAAATCAACTAATTCAATTATGGACCTTTGATTCCTGAAATTAAACTAACTGGAACGAAAAGTATTGATTTTTAAACCCCCCCCAAAAAAAAAAAAAAAATTGAAAATAGATAGCACAATCAAACCTGAATACTGAAATCACCGTCCATCGACACGTTGTGGGACTCCCCCGGGAGGCAACCGTAAGCAGTTTCGCCACCGCCAACACCGCCTTCGAGCATCATTTGACGTTCCTTCCGATCGAGATCGGAGGCGAGAGCGGCCAAATCGAATTCAGAGAAGAAAGGCCCCTGCAACACCGTGTTCACGCAATGCACGGCGCACAGCTTCGATTCTTGCACCTCATGGTACAACATTCCACCATTGATCGGACCTTCCATTTCCCACCTCACTCTCACTCTAAAACTCTCTCTCTCTAAAAACTCCAAACCCTAGAAATCTCTCTCTTTTTCCCTCCCTCTATAGCTTTCTCCCGTTCTGGCATAAATTGTTAGCTTCAGTTTTCTGGGGTGAAGGGAATATAAACAAAATGTCGGCTTTTCTTTTTTATTTCCATCTGGCAAGTACTGGCAAATCTAGTGCGAGTAAGAGCATCTCCAATGTTAAAATGCTAAATTCCGATGCCAAATTTATATTTTGACAATATTACAGTGTCAAAATACTACATAAATCTAGTGCGAGTAAGAGCATCTCCAATGTTAAAATGCTAAATTCCGATGCCAAATTTATATTTTGACAATATTACAGTGTCAAAATACTACATATATTTTAATAATTCTGCTCCAATAATGAAAATGCTATTTTTTAACACGACCAATATTTTTTTTCAACTACCACTCCCAACATTCATATTTATATAAATAATATTAATATTAGGCACATTCCAAATCAAATTGTAGATTAGAAAGAAACTAAAATTAAACTTAATTAAAAAGAATCAAAAATCTAAAATATCTAATCAAAAAAGGACCAAAATATATATATATATATATATATATATATATATATATATATGTATGTATAAATTTATATATTTGATTACATTGATGAGCACTGAAAAGTGCGTATTTAAACTCCTTAAACTTAGACATTGTAGCACCTTTATCTATCTTACTTTACCGTTTTAGATTGATTTCGTATTATTTCTATTTTTATGCACTTATCCCGAAAATAAGCTAACTCAGCCTAATAAGAGCTTTATTGAAGCAATTCTATGATTAAACAAAGAAGGAGCAAAGTGGAGAAAGAATAAAGCAAATGAAGCCAAAGATGGGAAGCAGCAAAGTTCGATCAATCCAACTTCAAGGTTCGATCGATCAAACAATGATCGATTTCAGCACTTCAAGATAGATCCAATCATTGGCCCAAAAGCATAAAGTCCAAAAGTTCGATTGATCCAACACCACCCTTCAATAAATCGAACACTTTTGTTCTTATTCAAATGATTAATCATATCCACAGCTGTACCACCCACTAACCACTTTTGTCTTTTTCCCATAAATATCTCCCAAAATATCTCGAATTTGTCTTTTCCCAAAAAGCTCAACCAGTTGGATCGATCCAGCCTAAGTTCGATGGATCTCAGCCAGTTCGATGGATCCAAGTCCAAGGTTCGATCGATCGAACTTCCTCCAGTGCGAAAAAGTTAAATTTCCATCTCATTGAAAGTTGTCATTTATCCAATCATTAGGAAATATTGTGTGTACGACCCCAACTCATTTTGGGTGTCATTTTGACCTACCTATATAAGGATAAGGATTGCTTTTTACAAGGGGGAGCCAATATCATTTTCATATCATCCCTTGGAGAGCAAGCTTAGAGGAGGAAGAGGCTAGAGACACCATTGGAGACTCTTCATCAACCAATGAGCAAATCTCTTCCATAGAATTAGCCCTTGAGGGTTGAAGCAACATCATCATGAGTGGCTAGACATCCTTTTGGGGCTAGAATTAGCCCTAAGCATACTTTCTATATCTTAATCTTGTGTATTATTGAGAGATTAGTGTTGTAATTGATGTTTTGACACTTTGATATATATAGATCTTGTTTATTCAATGATTTATGTAGTTTAATGTTTTCAATTGATCATTTTATTTTATCCATATGTCTATGTATGCTAGAATAGATGTTCATGTGCTTGTCTCTAAATTTTGTGTTATTGATGTATGTCTATGTGTATTGATGCTATAAATTTTGAGATTGTCAAAACATAGTGCTTAAAATAATGTTCTTGTAATTTTCTTGATGGTTCATATTTATTCCTTGATGGATTGTGCCTCTCCCCTAGTTTATTTTCATGCTAGTATTGTAAATGTAGTGTAGTTGTAGTGTAGTGTTAAATGGGAGGACAATCTATGCTTGTTGTTTGATGATCCAAACTTTTGAATGCAAGTAATATATGTCTCTATCCTTGTGTTGTATTTGGATCGTGAGCTTAATGAAATGATTAAGACTTGTTTTGATCTATTGTGCCTTTCACATGTTGTTTAGACAATATATGCTTCATTGCTTAGATATATTGTGCCTTTCACATGATGTTTAGACAATACATGCTTAATTGGTCATCCTTACTCGTTGAACCAAGCAAACACACACACACACCAATATTGCAACACACCATTTGCCCTCATTAATCACTTGTCAATGGTATTGAAATGCATTGCTTGGTGGTGATCTTTAAACCCCAATATCTCTCTCTCTCTTACTTACTCTTAATTGCATTATTTGTTATCACTTAGTTTAATTTTGTTGCTCTCTAATCAACCAACCAACTAACCAATTGTTTGATCACTCGACCTACTAGCCTTAATAACGATTCCACGACTTTGTTCGATCCTCACAATCCCTTGGGACAATCCCTACTCGCCCTACCTATATTTATAGTGAAAGGTAGTAGTGGTTTCTATAAATATAAAACTTTTGGCCCTCGCCTTGTAATGCAGACACTCTTCAAGCTTGATATGGTGTAGCGACCCTCACAAGGACCACATCATATATTATTATATAATTTTTTTTTATATAATTTATTTTTTCTTTTTAGGAAATTTATATATTATATATATATATATATGTATATTATATATATTTTATTATATTATTATTAAAAATATATATATATTTAGGGCAAATCATTTCAGCCTCCCCAATCGCCTCCATCTCTATTCTCGTTCTCAGCTCTGAAATTGCCCCCTCTCGCTGTTTCAGTTCAGCTTTGCCGTTCGCAAGCTTCAGTTGTTGGCTCTCAACTCTCAAGCTTGCCCCCCCTCCTCTGTGTGAAACTACTAACTTGTATGTATGGATTTTGATTTAATTTTTTTTTTTCTAAATCAACTAATCAAGCTCTATAATTATCTGTAATTTTTTTTCTAAATCAACTAATCCATGACTGGGGCAACCTCCGCTCTCTTCCTTCTTGACATCAAAGGCCGAGAAACTCTTCACCAAACCCATTGAGAAAGAGGTTCAATTTTTGTTTACTTTTTTTTAATCAAGGTCTGTAATTCTTGTTTTGCAAACTTAATCCTATTTGGTGAATTTTTTTAAATATATATATATATATACACTTATATATATACATATACATATATATATATATATGCCAAATCTAAGAACCGCACCCCCCGTTCCCCCCCCTCCCCCCACCCAATCTTCTATCTCTCTCTCTGAAATAGCAATAGCTATTTCTTATGCTACAATTGACAAAACTTTTGGCAAAGTTAAAAATTGACAGCCCTTTTAGCATTGCATTGAAGAGCCCCTTTTGAAGTCCCCTTGCTATATTTTAAAAATAACAGCCCTTTTAGCATTGGATTGGAGATGCTCTAATATACTACCTTGAGGTCTTCGGAACACGTGGCAGCACCGCGTTTTGATTTTGGTTTTGTCCAATATTATAGTAATGAATAGTATAAAATTGTTTAGTAAAAAATAGTTTAGTAAAAAATAGTTTATTTTGTATAGGGTCTAAATGTTTGGTGAATAATTATTAAAAATTAAAATATAAATTTGATATTTTTACATATTTGAGGACATTTTTAAATTAAATATTATATTTTTTAAACTAACACTTTTTAGTTTTCATATTTTTAGGATCTAAAAATCTTGCAACAAATGAATATTAACAGCTTTACAATAAAACATTTTTTTTTTTATTTTTCTTTTATCAAATATAAAGTTGAGGGTCTGAGTGCCAACCAAAACATGGTTCTAACTAGCATTTTATAAAGGAAGAGGTATTGTTTCTTGTTTTGTTTGCTTAAATAGAAGGGAATGATTGGTACGACTTTTTTAAGAGAATAGTTGTTGATGTACAAGCAATGAGTCGAGGATAATTATTTGAGAAAAATATAAAGAAATCTTAACAAGCAATGAGCAGAGGGTAATTATTTGAGAAAAATATAAAGAAATCTTAGTTTTTCTTTTGTAAGTTCTATGAATTAATAAACCTACTAATATGTTTATATGGATAGGATTTGATGGTCTTATAGAAAGAAAAATATGATAACCTTTTAAATTTTTTTTAAATTTTTTTGTATCCTCCATTAATGAGAAATCAAATAACTTATTTGGACGCAACGCTATGCCAAGCTTATTAAAAGTTACAGGTATTAGGCCTATATGCATACTTATTCCAATTTCCAACACCACTTGGCTAACAGAAATTGTACATGTATTAGTCACGTTCTAAGCAGTCCCTTCCAACATGATCAGTAGAGTTTTCAAACTTTAAAGAATTTAAATTTGATTTCATAATAAATTTGATTGCAGTGTTTGGAATTATTACATCGTTATAACTGGGAGGGAACCACCACCACCAAACCCAAACACAACATTGGGCCATTATTAGATAATTAAGCAGAAACCAAATGGATCAGGTAAGATTAAATATAAACTTTACCATTTAAATTCTCAGTTACAGTATATATTTTCTATAACTGTAAATTCCTCTCTGAATTATTAAAAAATACACATTATGAAAAATAGTTTTTCCATACTAAAGTTATACGTATCAAACAAAATAAAAACAATAGATGCTACCTAAAATGTACCTAACCCAACAAAAACATATTGACTTGGTTATGCTTGTCTACAGCCCACTATTCCAATTCTTACCATACAATATAATCTCTTGATATGAACATTTAATTAATATATATATTGGATAAACAAAAACATTGAATAGTTACCTCAAAGTTAAGGCCATATTGTTTCATACTATTATTTTAGCGAGATGTGTGATTAAAATTTTAATCGACTGCATTACCAGAAAACAATCTAATACTTTAATTTTGTACCTAAGAAATTACAATCTCAAAGAGTATCATAGTTATTCTTAACTTAAGTTTGAGAAGATATAAATTTCATTTCTTATTATAGTATGAATAACGAGAATGATAAAAACACTTTAAAAAGGAAAAAAAGGCATATATTTATTCAGTAATAAGTTTTTTTAGATAATAATGATTGAAATGGGTTGTCAAATATAGCAATACTCCTGACCAAAATTAGTATTGCTTTCAGGTTGTGAAAATACTTTGTGATTCAAAATTTAAATGAAACAAATATCGAATTAATTTTTTTATAAAAACCTCCTTCTATTATTATTTACAAAACAACTAGGAAAATTATTGAAAGCATCATCGATTGAGATACACACGTAGGTGTGAGCTCGTAGTGACTAGGGCAAACGAGGCGAGACTCATTGTCAATTAACGGCCAAACCGAAAAATGCTGGCTCATTATAGCATACCCCTCGGCATAAGAAGTATCGACATTCGACATTTTCTTGCGCTCTCTCTCTACTTTCTCTCTCTACACCTGGAGGAACCCAAACTGGTGCCCCATTGACGATCTTCTCGATGCTCGCTTTCTCTCTCATCGCTTCATAATCTCTCTCTCCCTCCGCCCCATTCTTTCTCCTCTCACTCCAAGAACGACACTCCCAAGTCCTTCATTGCTCACTCTGATTGTCTCTCCGGTAATTAATCTCGAGATCTTATTCGTCGATTATACGAGATTGTTTCTTCTATAATCATCTCGATCGCAATTTGATTTTTAGGTTGTTTTTATAATGCGATCTCAGCTTTGGTTTGTTGCCTGTTGAATTTGCTTTGTGTTTATTCTGAATTTATACTGTGTTTGATTACTCAGAAATTAGAGGGAAAGAGTAACAAAGTGAATTATTTAAATTTTCGAGATTCTCATTTAAGCTAACCCAAATGGTTGTGTTATGCTCAGTTCACTATATTTTGCTTTATTCAGTCTTGATTTCGTTTGTTACTTTTGTTTTTTAGCAACCAAATGAGCATGTTGTTCAATTGAGAAAACTTGAATTTTTTTTTTTTTTTTACAGATTTATAATTTGTTTGGAGCTATTGAATTGAAGGTCCCTTTGGTTATTTGGTGGAGAATTGAGAATGGCTTCACTTTCTCATTCTCCCGTGAATTTTACTGGAAATTTGGCTGTTGGAACTTCAGCTTCGGATCTTCTCCGGAGCTCTAGTAATAGTGTTAGTGGTGTGCCTTTGAAAACCCTAGGAAGGTTACGATTGGGCACGAGAAGGAGGGATTTTATGGTGACTGCAAAGGTCAGGAAGGGGAAGAAGCACGAGTATCCATGGCCAGATGATGCGGATCCAAATGTCAAAGGTGGAGTCCTTACTCATCTATCGCCTTTCAAGCCTCTGAAAGTGAAGCCGAAGCCGGTTACTTTGGACTTCGAGAAACCTCTAATGAATCTGCAAAAGAAAATCGTTGATGTAATACACCCTTTCAACATACATACTTAATATGCTTATTTAATTGAGAGCATATAATAGTTTACTTTAGGATCCTACTTTTGTTGAGTGCAGGTACAAAAAATGGCAAATGAAACTGGTCTGGACTTCAGTGACCAGATTATCCTTCTAGAGAATAAGTATCAACAGGTAAATAACATATGACTCTGATTTACATTGCATCTCTTGTTTATTGGGAAGCCATTTTCCAGGTGTAACTTTGATTTGTTGCAGTAATCTAGAAAATTTGGTGACTTGAGACTTTAGATAAGTGCTCATGTTAGTAATCATCTATTGATTGTCGGCTTCTTATTTAGAGTCAAGTTTAGATTATCCACCACATTTTCTTTTCATTTACTTTTCCAGTGTTATGGCAAAAAGTATGCAACTGACAAAATTTGTTCCTGTTGTCCCATCCTTTATCAGGAAATTGAGTTGGTCTTTCATCAATCCCAAATCGTCCTGCTTCCTGCTTGTTCATGGATTGCTAGTGGCACTTAAATTTTCAAGATTTTGGTTTATTTATGTGCAATGAGTTTGCCGACCTTTCGCTTATGTTATAGACTTGTACTCTATATCTGATGTTTATAAATGCAAAACCTCGAACCATGAGTATTTACTTGCTTGAATATTATACTTCTGCAGAGTGCTTATAAATAATTATGGGATATGTTTCAATTTTTTTTTTTTTTTGATAAGTTATGTTTCAAATTGTGAACTTCAGTAGAGCATTCTCCACTCAAAATTCAACTTATCGTAAAGTGGAAGTAGTATATAAAGAAAACAAGATACAGTGGATAAATTGAGTTTCATATGCATTCACAATTTCACATTGGTTTATAATGCTTTTAAATGGAGATACAACTTTTTATCAAATGGAATTGAGTAAGGAACTGTAATGTTGTTGTGTATCTTATATGTGTAACTAGTTAAAGGCACCACAAGTAATGAATAGTGAGTCATAATATGTGCTTCTGTTATATCAAATACACATAGATATGCCTAAAAATTCAGTGTTGAGGAGCTGGAAAAGAAAATAATTGATTTTGATGCCTCGTGGAACAATTATAATCTCATTTTACTATCAACATGATATCTACTTGTCAAATTTACTGACATCTCTCCAACAAAAATTCAGGCTCTAAAGGATCTCTACACACATCTGACTCCCATACAGCGTGTGAATATTGCACGTCATCCAAACAGGCCAACTTTTCTCGACCATGTTTTTAATATTACTGAGAAGGTTGTAAGCCCTCTGGCTTCTTGTATTTTGTATTTTAAGCTCAAGCCTTAATGACACTGCAAAAATCTCATAATGTCCTTTTATGTGTCCATATGTCCAGTTTGTGGAGCTTCATGGAGATCGATCAGGGTACGATGATCCTGCCATCGTCACTGGTCTTGGAACCATAAATGGTAGAAGCTACATGTTTATGGGTCACCAAAAGGGTAGAAATACAAAGGAGAACATTCAACGCAATTTTGGGATGCCCACTCCCCATGGGTACGTATTGTGGGAAGGTCAAGTTTGTAGTAATGTCTTTATTTTTTTATATGGAGCTGAATATGGTGAGAAGAATTTTTTTTGCAGTATCCCATTAGCTCCTAAGCAAACATCTAAATTATAATTTCTGGTGCTTGTGGATATTCAGTTCAATTCATAAGGCTAACCTTCTTCCTACTGGACAAGAATATGTTTAGCCTAGGATCTAAACTTGTCTTTTCAACAGTTACCGGAAGGCTATGCGAATGATGTACTACGCGGATCACCATGGATTCCCTATCGTTACTTTCATCGACACTCCAGGGGCATTTGCAGACCTCAAATCAGAGGAACTAGGTCAAGTATGTGGCAAATGTATCATGAAGCTCTCATGATTCCCCTTCAATGTTGGCTCTACTGATTTTTTGCTTTACTTGTGTGCAGGGTGAAGCCATAGCTCACAACTTAAGAACTATGTTTGGTCTGAAGGTACCAATTGTTTCCATCGTTATTGGGGAAGGTGGCTCCGGTGGTGCTCTGGCCATTGGCTGTGCTAATAAATTGTTAATGCTCGAAAATGCAGTTTTTTATGTTGCCAGGTGATTTGAGATTGGATTTACTTGCAATATTCTAGGTATTGCAAAAATACATTTGAGTCAATGCATGTGGTGTTTCGTTGTCTAATTGCTAGATAGATCTCCAACATCTAGTTCATTATACCATTAGTTTGTAGATTATTGATTTCACAGCTAGCAAATTGGAAGGAAAAAGTGGTTGCTGGCTATAAGGATTTAGCTGTGTTGTTTCCCTTGATTTTCTTTGTAACACATTTCCTTTTTTTGGGATTTTTTTTTTTTTTCACATGTGCCTATCTAATTTATACTTGTTTCATCTCATCTCTCATTGTACAGCCCAGAAGCATGTGCAGCAATTTTGTGGAAGACTGCCAAAGCCTCTCCAAAGGTTGTACTAGAAGTTCTCTTTTTGTTGTCCATCAGAAAATTCATTTTCTTATTTTTATATATATATATTGTCCTGACAAAAATCACTTCCACTTTGTCCCTATGGAGACTTGAACCCTCAACCTTCCATTTTGGGAGGTAGAGGAGACACCAACTGGCCATAACCCTTGGTGGTCATCAGAAAAGATTAAATAGCTAAACTAATCGTAAACTCCTTTTCTTTGCAGGCAGCTGAGAAGCTCAGGATAACTGCAGGAGAGTTGTGCAAGCTGCAAATTGCTGATGGCATTGTTCCCGTAACATTCTACTACCCAATAATATCTTCATCGCATTTATGCATTTTCTCCTCTCCATCCCCCACCCCTTCTCCTCCCTCGCTATTGGTTTTTATTTTTTTCCAACTGCAGTGCGTTTTCTTGGGTGTTGGGGTTTGCGCGGCGCAATGGTAAGATTGTGCCATTGTGACCTAGAGTTCACGGGTTCGAAATGGAAAACAGCCTCTCTGCATGCAGAGGTATGGCTGCATACATCCAACCCTTTCCAGACCCCACCAATGGCGAGATCCACATGCACTGGGCTAGCCATTGTAATGCATCTTTCTTAAGCAAAGGGTGCAAGGGTGCAATACTGACAGTGGACTAGAATTTTGGGTCCTTATGCTTTGATCTGTGTTGCTTCAATTTGCTTTTCAACTTCAAACTGTCTTTTCACTTCCACTGTGTCTTAATGGGATTTTTGGAATTATGTAGGAGCCACTTGGTGGTGCACATGCAGATCCATATTGGACATCCCAACAGATAAAAACTGCAATCATTGAGTCAATGGATGTAAGTACATTCATGTTCTTCTACAAGAACATGAATAGGAGCTTACATTATGATACTGACATGCATATTTGATTTATATAGGAGTTTACAAAAATGGACACACAAGAGTTGCTAAGACATCGGAATCTAAAGTTCCGGAAAATTGGTGGATTCCAAGAAGGCCTCCCAGTAGATCCGAAAAAGAAAGTTAACATGAAATTGAAAGAAGAACCCATAGTTCAAAAGCTGGGAAAGACTTCAGAACTGGAGTTGGAAGGTGAGGTTGAGAAACTTAAACAGAAAATTCTGAAATCCCAGAAATCGTCTACAGAGACTCCGGAATTGGGCCTGAATCAGATGATAGAGAAACTGAAAAGAGAGGTTGACCATGAGTATTCTGAGGCAGCTAAAGCCATGGGTTTGGAGGACAGGATTGTGATGTTGCGGGAAGAATTCGCAAAAGCAAGGAATTCAAAGGACCAACTCATGCATCCAGTTCTAAAGGACAAGATTGAGAAGCTTAAGGATGAGTTCAACCAAGTTTTGCCATCAGCTCCTAATTATGTGAGCCTGAAATATAAGCTTGACATTTTGAAGGAAATATCCAATGCCAAGAATCTCTCAGAGAAGAACAGCAAAGCAGGCTCATTGAAACAGGAAATTAATAACAGATTCAAAGAGGTCATGGATCGGCCTGATGTGAAGGAGAAGATCGAGGCACTGAAGGCTGAAATTGAAAACTCTGGCGTGTCCATAGTGCAAGATTTAGACCAGGGGCTGAAGGATAAAATTTTACAGGTAAAGGAGGACATAGAATTAGAGTTTGCTGATGTTCTCAAATCTTCGGGTTTGCATGTTGAGCTGGCTTCATTCTCAGACGTCAAGGTTAAGATAGAGAACTTTAATGAAGAAATCAACAAGAGAATTGATGATGTTATAAATTCATCGGATTTGAAGAACAAGATTGAGATGTTGAAATTGGAAGTAGAAAAGGCAGGAAAGACACCTGATTTGGAGTCAAAAAGTAAGATTCAGACTTTGGAGCAACAAATAAAGGAGAGTTTGGCAGAGGCTATGAATTCATCTGGATTAAAGGAGAAGCATGAAGAGCTTAAGGCAGAGATTTCTGAAGCTGTGGAATTGTCTGGAGGATCAGATGGAAGTTTGGTTAAAGAAAATATAGAAGAGAGTTCCATGTATGATGGGTCAGGAGTAGAGATTAATTTACAAGCAAACCGTAGCTTTGCCTGATGTAAGTTCATTCATTCTCGTTACTCGTTGAATTCTTCTTCTTCTTCTATATATATATATATATTTTGCAATGGAGAAAGTTCATGCTTACCTTGAAGTTTAATATTGTTCGAGGGTGTTAGAAGGTGTTTGTAAGGTGGTGTCCTTCAATAAGTACTTGGCCCTTTATAGTTGATGTCTGCGAGTCAGGCTACCAGTTGTGTCCTGTATGTGCGTCTCTCTTGAGTATCTGAGTGTGCATGTGTCCTTATCAAGGTTGTTAGAATCGGGATTCTACCTAGGATTAACGAGGGGTCCATAGGATCGGAATCGTAGGATCGGATCGAGAATAGTAAGATTCTATAAAACTATTAGAAAAGTATCTTAAACTAACTTTCTAGATCAAATATTTTAGATATAAGTAGAGAATAAAGCTAAATAACTAATTCAGACACTCTAGGAAAATTAATTAACATTAAAAGATAGTAGGAAGCAAAATTAATTAACATTAAAAGATAGTAAGACGCACGACAAACACTTAAAATCAGTTTCTTCATTTCAACAAAAAATCAGCATAACAATCAAGCAAAGCATAACAATCAAGCAAAATCTTAGAGAAGAAATTAAAGTAAAGCCTATTAGAGAGAGAAAAATACAATTTAGTTGCCTGCCTAATTGTTTGAGCAATTTAGTACTTTTTGGTTAAAAAGAAACAAAATAGAGATAGAAAGAACAACGGAAAAAAATGAAGTCTTTGTTTATTTTTGTTTCAGAATTGACAAAGAATAGGTAGAAAAATAGAATTCTTTCTCTTAATTGTACTGAACAAGAAAGAAGAAAAGAGAATTTAAGAAGAATTAAACAAAGTAGAGGAAATTTTTGAAAATTTGAACGATACCTTTGAAATTCAGAGTTGATCGTCTCTACAGACTACATTTGACATTCATTTCTTTGTTTTTTGTTTTTAAATTTTAATTTTTTAATGTAACTTACCCCCAAAAAAAAAAAAATTTAATGTAATTAGGCTAAAAAAGTCGGGACTTTATCTTTAAAATGATTAAATTTATGAGTCCAAAATTAATTGTAGGCCCAAATAAATCCGGAAGAACAAAATAACACAAATTAGTAGAATCGTAAGATCCTATGCGATTCTACGATCCTACTTCTGATTCTCCCGATCCAACTAAGATTCTACTTCCCAAAGATTTTGGATGGGATCGGGGTCGTTTTGGCAATTTGAGATCGTAGTTGTAAGATTCTAAGATCCGAAATCGGGATTTTAACAACAATGGTCCATATATTTGTCTCTGAGTGTGTATGTGTTTGTGTGCAACTGTTTATATTTATTTATTTATTTTTTTCTGAGGAAAGAAAAATAGTTTCACCCCTCAGCCTGAGTTGAACAATTGAGATGGTTTGAAAATTAATTCACTCGGATCTGGAGTTTTATATGCCGTGCCTATTATATGGCAATTGTTAGATTTCTGAGGTCTATTATTGATTAATAATCTTCATTTATTTCTAAATTCAAGCGGTAACTTTTTATTAGCACATTGCAGGTGACGATGATTTAGGAACAAACCATGAGTGGTGGTTGAAAAATCTGCTGAAACCCTTGCATTAATGTCTTCCAGAAAGAATATACTTCAAACCCTAGATCTGTTACCAGCATTCAGTGTCATCATCCACCTGGACCACCTTCCAGAGTCTTCTGCTGCTTTTGCATCTACAGGAACATGGGACTGACACACAATGTCTGCTTATCTTGAAACTAGAATTTTCCCATTTTGAATCAATGGAGCCCATTTAATTAGCTTCCATGTTTCTTTTCTTTCTTTCTCTCAAATTTTTTTTTTTTTTTTTTTCTTTCGTTTTTGAACTTGTTTTTCCCTTATTTATAGGGTTCTGTTTTTTCTTGGCTAAACGGTGTTTCTCTTTATATTTGATAGACGCAAACAATTATGTATAATTATTCGAGTCGTAAACTAAATAACATCTTTTCAGATATTGGAAAGAGCATATATGGAGGGTGCCTTATACCAGATATTGCTGATTAGTTTTTGTGATTTCATGAATTTTTTTCTATTGAAACTGATACAATCACTTTGCCCTGTGGGGACGTTTTAATGAATTCCATTATATGTATATGTGTAATGTGGGTGTACATTTGCATGTTGATGGTCTGGTTGTAAAACTACAAAGGATATCTATTATACCTAAGGACAATCAGAATTCAACCCGAGCCCAGCCATGATGTCTCATGGGCTTGGACAACAGTTCTTGGGTTGGGTTGGGCTGGGCTGGATTAAAAAGCCTCAACCTGAATTATCTAGGTTTGGACTTGAGTAGGTTCTCCAACCTAAACCATTGTAACTATGTTTTTTATTTACAATAAGTTTAAATATATTATATACTGTAAATATTTTAAAACGGTGGTCAACATTTTATTTTCAACTTCTTTCTTCAAGAAAATCTCAATCTATTATATATTACTGAGTAGGAGAATTAATATTCAATTTTTATATATTTGTTAGAAATTTATATCCAGTTAATTTTTTTTTTTTCGTTTTTATGCATATAAGAGTAATCTAACTCGAAACTAGTCCGAGACCAAGCAATTTTCAGTTCAATGGTCGGAGATCAACCGATTTTCAGTCCAATTTATCTAATTTGAATTGGAAATGAGAACATACATCTAAGTTGAGTTGGAAAATGTGAACATTGAGCTGGAGTTGAAACTTTTATAAATTAGATTTTAGAAAGAGTTTGAACTTGTGTTAGTAGCATCAATTGCTGAAGCTCACGTTGGATATAAATTTATGGACAATACTTAGAACCTTAATAATGAGGATCTACAGCATCTTACATCCTTATCGTTGATATGAACCAATAATAAATTAACACATTTTATTTTAATTATCAAATCATAAATAGTAATCAAATCACTATTTTTGATTTGGTAAGTGAATATTTATAATTAAAAATGACATGTCGATTTATTATTATTTTTGTCCAAATTGTGTTTTCATAAAGCATAAACTCACATAATTTGTCACGAACTTGTCCAATCAAAACTCTCAAATTAATAAATATGGATGCAAAAAATTTAATAACATAACAATAAAAAAATCTCTTCATGAATTTTTAATGAACCGGACTGCAAAAAATTTTAATAACATAAAAATTTGTTACGTGATGGCTTGAGTATTTTAAAAATTAAAAAAAAAAAAAATGAAAAAGAAAAGCTAAATACGGTTATTGCAATTTTTACCCGTAAATATACTCAAAACTAGGGGTATTTTCTTCCACAAGCTGTTCGCTAACTGGACGTGCATACGAGGGTATTCTTGTTCAATTGTTCATCAGTTGTCGCCAGTGAGATCGTTAGAACCCTAGTTAGGGTTTTTCTAGTCCTAATTTATGAATTCAATTCCATAAAACTGTTAACAATTAGCCAAGGATTCATCGAGTGATCTCCGATCCACTATTGGAAGGCTTTATATATATAATTTACATCTTTCTAATATTTGTTCTTCAGACCTGACCTTGTAGAATTCTCAGTCAAAGTACGATCTCATGAAGACTAGGGCGTTATTGATTTGCGTGCTTCTATTTTCTTCATTGAATCCCATTCATGTTGCTTCGGAATCGAAATCGGAGGATACGAAGACAAATAAGTTCCGGGAACGAGAGGCCACCGACGATGCCCTTGGTTATCCCAACGTGTAAGTTTTCTGTTTTTTTTCTCTTTGATCTTGATAATTTTTCCGTTTGGTTGCTAAGAAAAATTTTCAGAGGTGGAACTTTTGATTTTTGGATTGAATCGGACATTAAATGTAAAATCAGTAGAAAAAAATACCTATTGCATTAGCTTAAATGCAAGCACATTAGCTTTTATTATGGATATAATTGATTGTTTTGTTTATATAACGTATTATATTGTGAATATTTTGTTTTGTTATCTGCAGAGAGGAGGATGAATTGTTGAATACACAGTGCCCTCAGCATTTAGAGTTGCGATGGCAGACAGAAGTTAGTTCTAGCATATACGCGACCCCGTTGATTGCAGATATAAACAGGTAGAAACTTATACCTCGGCTGTGATGTAGCTAGGTTTTGTTTAATCAACGCGGCATCAACTTCATTCTCTTACAAGTTCAAGTTACAACTTTTTTAACTGTCTAAAAGCAAAATTCAAAGTTTCAGGAAAAAATACAAGTAAAAGAAGCCAATATTGACGATGGCCATCAGTTTAATTGGAACATATATTAGTGATAGCTTATTCATAGAAAGAAAAATATTTTAGGGGCCAGAGATATTTTTTGTGAAGCAAACTGAAGAGGTAAAGAGTTCCCCAAGTTTGACAGCTAAACATCCCTCAAATTGGCTTGAGGCCAAAATGAAAAACTTTCATGACCTGGAAAAAGTTCTACACAATTGTCCTTTTGAAATGAAAAGATCAGTGGGAGATTTGAACCAATTGATAGAGTCGAATGAATTTGATACTTATGCATTCATTTTTTAATGTCGGTGCAATATCTTCTTGAGTCTGCCATGTCTTTCTTTAATTTTTGTTCATGCACTTTTGAATGTATGTTTTATTGAGTTTCACGTTTTATTACTCAGTGATGGAAAGCTTGATATAGTTGTTCCCTCTTTTGTTCACTACCTTGAAGTCTTAGAAGGTTCTGATGGAGATAAAATGCCAGGTATACCTTTTATTTGGAACAGGTGTTTTATATAAATTGTACTGCCTTAACTAAATATATTCAGTGTACTGCTTTGGTGATCTACTGAGATTTATCTGGACGCACTTGATTAGTTAAGAATTTTTGTTACAGATACATGACATAGAGAAATGCATTAAAGAATAAAATCTGTGTTTTACATCAGTTTGATCCAAATGCAACAGATGTTTAATTAATTGTCTCAACAATTCATCAGGGTGGCCTGCTTTTCATCAGTCAACTGTTCATGCCAGTCCTCTCCTATATGATATTGACAAGGATGGTGTGAGAGAGATAGCTTTGGCTACTTACAACGGTGAGGTGCTCTTTTTCAGGTAATTGTCTTATCACTTGTGAAAAAAACTTACAATGTGATTGTAGTAGTGCTCTAACATGCTTCAGACTTAGAATTATCCTATTTATACTATTATAGGGTTTCAGGCTACATGATGTCAGATAAATTAGAGGTACCTCGATTGAGAGTTAAAAAAGATTGGTACGTGGGTTTGCATCCAGATCCGGTGGACCGTTCTCATCCAGATGTTCATGATGACCGACTTATCCAGGAGGCTGTAATAAATTCAATCCCTCGTAAGTCATTGTCTCTATATGTCTGAATGTAGGGTATGATTTGCATTTTTTGTAATATGCTCAGTTTTCACGTCTTTCCATTCATTATATACTTAAGCAAGCTCTTATAGTACTCATCATCATCCTCTACCAAGCCTTGAACCCTTGCCATCAAGTTTGGAACATAGTATGTTACCCAAGAAAAAAGCAAGGAGGCCTAGTTGCAATTTCTTATAGTATCTTACTTGTTCAATTAAATTTTGTAAGGAAATATTTGATACATGTTTAGCAGAATCATACCGGCCACTGGCCATCTTGATGGCTGGTTGAACTGGTTGATCATGCAAATGTTGAATCGGCTTGATCCAGTCTGATTTAGAAAAGAGCTAAACATAAATTGTTACAAATATAATTCTTTTGGCTTACTAATAGTTTATAGGGTGCAGGGTTCTAAACTCCGATTTACCTAACCTCTGTATGAAAGTATACAATAGAAATACCTGGTGGACATTTCCTCATCTCAAAGCATATTTTGAAATGTCTATTGATACCCTTGATATTTGATAAACTGACAACCTAACTGTTGACGGACATTCAAAGTTGGATAAGCATGCTTCATAATGTAGCTTTGATTGCAATCCTGTGCTAGTTTAATCTTCATTTTCAGATTTGATTACCATTAGTATTTAATAGGGCTTTGTGTTCTTAGTCCTTTCTTATAAATATCATTTTGATCAGTTACCAAAGACATCTTTTTAATATCATTTAATAGTATTTTTTGTTAGTAGGCATCTTTTGTTATATTAGACATTTCCTTTTTGTCCTCGCCCCCAACACTTTTTCTTAACCGACTGCCAATATAAGCGAGTTGCAATTAACCTATTCTCTTTTTCCAGTTCATAGTTATTTTCTGTTGGTGGCATCATTAGGTGTGTTTGGAATCGTTATTGCCGGTTTAAATGATCCCAACTTTATATAATTATGTGAAGTGCAATATTCAAACCCCCGTCATGTCAATAATTGTTGATTTTCCTTATAGAACCAAATGGAAGCACACCTGTTGCAAACACTTCGCTTTCAACATCAGCAGAAGTTCATGTTGACAAAGTGAATGCATCCAATGTAGAGGATCAAGGTAAAAAGAATGATAGTCAAACAGAAGCAAACATTAAGCTGCCAGGGAGCACAGATAATGCTACTACTTCAGATTTAGGATCAGTGACAACAAGCAATGCTGAGAATGGAACAAACACTGGAAGACGTCTTCTTGAAGATAAGGACTCCCAAGGGTCAGAGGACAGTTCGGAATCCAAAGCTAAGAGCAATGAAAATGTTCGTGCTGCAACTGTGGAAAATGATGAAACTTTGGAAGCAGATGCTGATTCGTCTTTTGAGTTACTCCGTGATAATGACGAGCTGGCTGATGAGTATAATTATGACTACGATGATTATGTTGATGAATCCATGTGGGGAGATGAGGGATGGAGTGAAACACAACATGAGAAATTAGAAGATTATGTGAATATTGATTCACACATTTTGGCAACTCCTGTAAGTGTCACAGCAGATGAAATTTCTGATGGATGTGTGTTAGATATGATTAAGAGACTTAAATGAAACACGGTTTTTCTCCTTTTTATCAGGTTATAGCAGACATCGATAATGATGGGGTATCGGAAATGGTTGTTGCCGTGTCCTACTTCTTTGACAATGAGTGAGTTCCCTCCTATATGTCACAATTTGCTTCATGACTTTTTTCTGTTTTTTCTTTTCTTCTTTTAATGTCTGGGTTTGTGGGGGTGGGGGTGGGGGTGGGTGTGGGTGTGGGTGTGGGTGTGTGTTAATTCAAATTTTGTTAAGTCATACAGCTGGCATTTGATTTGAGCCTCAACAATACTATTGTATGTTTCTTTCGAAGTCCATCTTATCCTTTAACATTTTTCCCCCTAGTTTATCCTTTAACATTTTTATTATGGAATATATGTAGTTTAAGACATTTTTTGGTCAGTGTAGTTTAAGACTTTACCTAAGCAAATTTCTGGCAACATGTGATGCTTTCTCATAATTTTACTTCCATCACATCTTGAGTTCTCCAAATATTTGACTGTCTTTGTCCATTGGAGTTGATAATCTTATGCAGATTCTAGTGATAGATTAGCAAAAAAGGCATCAAGTCCCATTAGGGACAAAAAGTGGGTGAGTAAGTTAAAACTGGGGGGGGGGGGGGGGGGTGGAATAGACGAGCAAAAAAGACATTCACTCTACAGATGTGGTTAATAATTTTCACCTGCACCATTGCTGGGTTTGTGGAGATGCTGAGATCACTCTGTTGTTTCTTTTATGGGGCTCCTCATTTAAAATAAGGTTGATTTGGATATAGCTTAGGCCCTTTAGACTTCCTTATGTTGTCTTTGCTCTTTCTGGGATCTTCTTTTTTTTTTCTTTTTTCTTTTTTCTTTTTTCTTTTTTTTTCTTTTTTCGTTTTTTTGTCTTCGTCAAATGTGTAAATCATTTTTTCTTAATCTATGTTAAGAATTGCTGGACATGCTCATTGCTCTACTGGAAGCAGTTTTTTTCATGAATCATGGTCCCTTGCCTCTACTCTTTGGAACCTATACTTTATTCTTGTTGTTGCGATTTGGAACTGCTCCCATGTTGTTATCCTCTTAACGGTGTTCACCAGTTATCACTTGTCACTAAACACTTTGGTTTTGGAAACTTAATTGGTCATCTGCACTGATTTTCGTTTACTGAGGATATTTGAACTAATATTCTGTTATAATGTTGGTTGAACCAACAATCCTTGAATGTGTTGTGTAAGATAAAGATATTAGTAGGGGGCCACTAGAAATAATATGTTGGATAAAAAACTGAAAAATCCTTACAATCAAATGAATAAAGGGAAACCTGAAAAAATTCAAATATTTAGGGTGGAAAGAACGCAACCAATTAGGATTGGGAGATATTATAGCCTTGTTATTACCAAGACTTCTGTAAATTGTGCTGCTACTAGTGTGTGTTGAAGCCAACTTGATCCAAAGTTCCAAATTCAACCCAAGTTATTGTTGGGTTACCTGATCTAACCCATACCTGATCATTAGTGATTTACAGTAATGCACATTCATATTCTTATGCATATCCCTACTTTTAAAAGGCAAAAACATTAGGCAAGGCATAAACCTCAAGGATAAAGGCATGAATTTTAATGCTTCATCTTTTAGCTATGGATACATCATTATTTCTCAACTCTATCAAATGCAGTCTCCAACAACTTAGGTCGTCTAGTCAAATCCTTTTGGAACTGAAATTAATCACCCAGTGCAGTCATCAGACATTTTTCATGATGCCGAACATATGGCCTAAGTCATGGTTGCCCTTTATGTTATATGCGTTAATATGACTATTGTTAGAAATTTTAGTTATGTATAAATTATAATAACATTATGGTATAGTCAATTGGCCCTTAATTTTCCAGGAAATAAAAAATTGGCTTTATTGTGTGGCTGGATGTCTTAATAACTCAACTCAAGCCTTGACAAATATTAGTTGGGGTTGGAGATTTCAAAATCCAACATTGTTGTGAGAAGCTAGCCAATGCGGTAAATTGCCTAGGACTTGGCTCTTTTGAGTGCAGACCGAAGTTTCAATCTATAATGCTAATAAAAGTTTACTTAGTAAAGTTATTAATGTAAGTTGCAAAAGAAAATTACATGTGGCCCCTTCAAAGTCAATTAGATCTTTTTTGTCTTACTTTTAAAAATCCAAATGTGAGGAAAAAAAAAGAAAAAGTATCCATTATTCATATCCTAGGAAGCACAAACACTTTTACGAGTAAGCTGTATCTGCGTTGTATTTGCGTTGGACACCAACACTTCATGGACACTCCTTGGACATATGTTGAACACTTCATATACGTGCCCATAATTTACAAATAGATTTAATTGTGTTATCCACTTAGTGGACATTTTGCCAACGCTTTGCTGACCGTCCTAGACACTTCCCAGACACCCCTAACACAACTTTATATAACAAAAACACATATGCAGTAGTCATGTTCGGTGTTCTTTAAATAATTTGAACACATTTCAAGATGTCCAACTTTTTTTTCTTTAAGAAAAATTGGTACCATACACACGGTCACAAGTACAATGATATTTTTTCCACATAGAACAAAATTATTATTGCAAGGACAATAGTATCATATATATAATATAACAATAATTACAACAATAGTATGACTTCATCTTTTAAATTGGGTTGGGGTAACTTTTGGTATAGAAATCAGAAATGAATTAAAGTTTTATAATAATATTACTTACTAGGTGTATATAAATAAATATTATATTAGTATATAGCCATGTCTGCGGCTCTACGCTACACCTGCATCCTACTTTTCTAGGATTTAATGTTTGATATCGTATCTGTGTCTCCTGTCCATGTCTATGCTACTAAGTTCATTATCTATTCTGATATTGAGAATAATTTATGAAGATTTGTGTTTCTTTTCATTGAATATTTATTTCTTATATCTCTAGTTTCGTAGCATTGGAAAAAGTCGAAGTGGACTTCATGTGTTTCAGCTAACTAATTGTAATGTGACAGGTACTATGACAACCAAGAGCATTTGAAGGAACTTGGTGGTATTGATATTGGAAAATATGTTGCTGGTGCTATTGTTGTTTTCAATCTCGATACCAAGCAAGTCAAGTGGACGTCGCAATTGGATCTTAGTACGGATACTGGAAAGTTCCGTGCCTATATATATTCTTCTCCAACTGTTGTTGATTTGGATGGCGATGGGAATTTGGACATTCTTGTTGGAACTTCATATGGCTTGTTTTATGTCCTGGATCATAAGGGTAATGAACTGAAACTTTTTCTAATCACTCTTTATTTCATGGTTGTGGTCTGGTTTTGATCTGTCTCTTTAGAAATTTACCATGTTCCTTCTTTCTGTATATGCTTTTGCACATGCATTCTAAATTCCAATAATATTATTTATTAATACCTCGACCACTCATCCACTGTGTGGGCAGACTTCCTCTTTGATTTCATATCTCATCTACATGAATGGAGTCTGCGAGTTATTGGATTTACCTGTAAATTAGCAGGAAAATTTCCCAATTGTCTCTGTGTAGGATGAGCCTTTTTGTTTGTAATGTTGAACTTTTTTTTAATTTTTTCGAAGCCAGTACCTATTCCATATGAGCGTATGTGGCATGTCTGCATATCTGCAGTTATTTATATGAAGCAGTTAAATTACACTTGGGTAAAAATTAAATTTTCATACTCCCTCAGAACATTTTATAGCCCGCAAAAACTTTTTATAGGATATATCTTTTGGCAAGCTAATTATTGCGTTTAATGTCCCTCCTGTGCTTTTTATTCATTGCCAGAAATCAGGATATCAATGGAAGCCATCCTATTACCATCACACCCTCAATTAGAGTTTCAGTTTAATATTTTGTTAACAGGATTGTAGATCATGGGTAAGATGCATAGCCATAACCAACTGATGTTTGGCATGCGTGATAAGCACGGTGAAGGCATCCACTTCAATGGTGGGTTTAGCAAAAATGAGTGCCCAAAATACTATGAAGAGTCAGAAGAATTACAATTCTTGTTCTATGTGCAATTTTGTCCAAGTTATATACACACACACACGCACACACAATTTGTCCCAGTTATATATATACTTGTATATATATGCATCCATATGTATATGTAGATATATGTGAATGTGCTTGTTTGGGTGTACAGATATACACTGAACTTAAAAGAAAACATCGAGACAGTGTTTTGACACATATTGACAGCATATTTGGGTACTAAGTTGGCATAAGGCTTCTGGGAATTACCCTGAGGTCTGTTGTTCAGCTCATGGGGGCATCCATCCTCTGCCCTGAGTTTTCCCTATACCCGTTATTTGGGGGTGATTGCAGGTGTCCGAAGGGAATAGAGTTTTGCCCGAAGAGGGTGGGGACACCCTCTATTACTTGGGGAAAAAGAAGAAGAAAAATTTCTGTATTTTCAAATTAAGAAATACATGTTACTGGAATTCGCTTACAGCGATTTCCAAGGGTTTTACGTTACTGGACATTTTCGAAGGCGCAGCTGTGTTTTGAACAATAGTTCAAAGAAATGCTGTCCTTTTGGGTTCTAAATCGTCTCTGATGTGCTTTCATTCTTTTTACCAACTTGGAGACTAAACTGTTTTTAATCAGGCAAAGTGAGGGAGAAGTTTCCTCTTGAAATGGCTGAAATACAAGGAGCTGTAGTTGCAGCTGATATCAATGACGATGGCAAGATCGAACTAGTGACCACGGATACACATGGAAATGTTGCTGCATGGACTGCACAAGGGAAAGAAATTTGGGAAACACCTCTTAAGAGTCTTATTCCACAGGTAAGATGCAGTATTTATCTCCCCAGTTTTTTAAGCATTGTCTGAATGTAAAATAATAGTGTATGCTATATCCAATACGAAAATGTTGTTTCCAGGGTCCCAGTATTGGTGATGTCGATGGGGATGGCCACACTGATGTTGTAGTTCCAACAATATCGGGGAATATATACGTTCTTAGTGGCAAGGATGGGTCACTTGTTCGGCCATATCCATACAGGACTCATGGGAGAGTGATGAATCAAGTTCTTCTTGTTGATTTAAGTAAACGCGGGGCGGAAAAGAAGGGACTTACTATTGTTACAACATCATTTGATGGTTATTTGTATCTTATAGATGGAATCACATCATGTGCTGATGTTGTGGATATTGGTGAAACTTCGTAAGATACCTTTATTTTACTTTTGACACATTTTTTTTTTTTTTTTACTTGCTCCTTCCTCAATATTGAATTAAAATGCAAGTATCTTTACAACAGATATAGCATGGTCTTGGCTGACAACGTTGACGGCGGAGATGATCTTGATCTTATTGTGACAACCATGAATGGCAATGTCTTCTGTTTTTCAACTCCATCTCCGCATCATCCCCTCAAGGCAGGATACAACTAAATCTGATTTGTTGTGAATTAATGCTTTGTACTTCCCAGTCTTCACAATATCTATTATATATTGTGCATTTTTCAGGTGTGGAGATCACCTAATCAGGGAAGAAACAATGTTGCAAACCGCTTCAATCGTGAAGGGATCTATGTTTTACCTTCATCAAGAGCGTTCCGTGATGAAGAAGGCAAGAGTTTTTGGGTCGATGTAGAGATTGTTGACAGATATAGGTTTCCGTCGGGGTCTCAAGCACCATATAATGTCACAGTAAGATGCCAATTTCTCCTTGAGTACATTTTCCAAGTTATATAATCCAGCAGGTGAAAAAAATTGCCCTTGTCTAATCGAATTTTGTGTTATCCTAAAACTATGCAGATAAGCTTATTAGTTCCTGGTAATTACCAAGGAGAGAGAACCATAAAGCAAAACCAGATCTTTGATCGTGCTGGAAAACATCGGCTAAAGCTCCCAACAGTTGGAGTAAGGACTACAGGGACTGTTTTGGTGGAGATGGTCGACAAGAATGGACTCTATTTCTCAGATGACTTCTCCCTCACATTCCATATGTATTACTACAAACTGTTGAAGTGGCTTATTGTCCTACCTATGCTGGGGATGTTCGGTGTGCTAGTCATCCTTCGTCCACAGGAGGCCATGCCCTTGCCATCGTTCTCACGAAACACTGACTTGTAATGATCAGCTCATATCAAAATCTGACACATCCTTGCCAAAGTTTACAAAATGCTTATACTCCGATGTTGATCTAGTGCCAGAAACATCTAATGATTCAGAAGGGTTGCTGTGGGAGAGTGTGTGAAGGCTATGTTTTGGGTTGATCACACAATATTTGGACGTGTTACAAATGGGGTTACCTGAATTGAGTTCTGAAAATAGGAAACCAAATCTGTGGTACCTTAGCACCCAAAATTATTTTTTGATCTCCTTGGTCTTCTTTTCTCTCGTGTAATTTTGCTCTTAATGTTATATGAGGTATTGCTGAGGAAAATAGATATTTTCAACACCAGATTTTTTTTCACACACACACACAATTCGCTTTGATCTTGGGTTTTGAAACTTGAATAGAAAGAAATTGGACAAATCGAGTTGACTGAATTTTGTAATTAGGCTGGATAAAATTAAGTTACGTAAATTACTTTTCTTTGAGAGATTGAAATACATGATCTTATGTAACAAAATTTACAGTTAGCTTAATTTCGGTTCATGCTTTCATCGAAACCTGATAACCGACTTAATTTTTTCTTGGGTGGAGATGATGTGGTTAAGCATTCGTCAACATTCAGCATGTCATGTTGGCTTCTGTATCATGCATGGTCGTCCCAAAACGCAAAAAGGATTGAAGTAGTCAGATGCCTGATAACTGATAACTTACCCAAATTATGTTCTTAAGAAATCATCACTCTCTCTCTCTCTGTCTAATATGAAAACAATAAATTTTTTGGACAAACCAAAGATGATTTTTTTTTTTTAATTTTTGGTGTCTTCTTGTAAATCTTGACTTAACCCAAGTTCTTAATGGCATTGCAGTTAAAGAAAATCATTTCCGAATTATGTCACCTTAATTGTTGTATATTGAACTGGTTTTTACCCCTTGTCCAGCTCAAGAGAAGCACAAGAAATGCAAGAAAGTGGAAGCGGATGGAGTATTCTCATTTGGAATATAATGTTAATTCTATGTAAATATTAATCAACCTATGCTTCTATATCAATCAGGTTTAGCTACTATCTACACGACTTTGACGAATATTAGGCCATTTGCTCATCCCCATTAATGGTAGCCTATTAGTGCTGAGACTATAAGCACTAGGGTTTTACGTGGAGAGGTGCTCATCATGGTTTGCTTGGCTTAAAAGAGACTATAATACAAAATCTTCATCCGTGTTAAAAACTAGCTGGTTGTGCATGAATGTACTTGCACTGCAAGAATCCTTTCTAGTTTTTTTATTGATAATGCCGCAACATATCAATCTACCCAACCAATTTGCAAAATATATTTGAAATCGAAATGTCCTTCCTTTTCTCTAAAATGTGATGCTTCCCATTCTTTACCATCCAGAACAAATATTGAATTCTACCTGTTCCACAACCTCATTCAAAAACATTCTTGAAATCTCTCCTAATTATTATGCATGCTTTATGAGTTCCGACTCTGTTACCTCCCAAGTTCCAAGTTATTCAAAATCCCAAATCCAGACATTTGAAAGAAAAAATAATAATAAAAAATTAAATCCCACATAGAGCAAAGAAAAATAAGTTAGTGTTGTTCCTCTTTCTTTCCCTCGTGCCAAAAAATGGACAAAAAAAAAACAACTTATTTGCATTTCGTTTCAAAAAAGATTTCCATCAAAGTAGACCTCCCACACCACAGCAGAATTCAAAGCATATTGAATGAACTAAAATACGGTAATCAACCATCCACAAAACTAAGGCTCAGACTGAAATTCTAGCCAGTCATAAATATATATCACCATAACCTCAAAAATATATATATATATATATATCAAACATCAAGACACAAATCTAAAAATCACTTAGAAATCCATTTACATGGGGCAAAATCGAGTGATAGTTAGAGAATGAACATCAATGGCTTAAGCAGTCCATCTGTACTAAAGCTAAGATGTTAAATTATCGTTAGCCCAAAGTAACTTTGAATTGGGAAAGAGGGAACCATTCCTGTTTCTGTTGATTCATCCTTAATTTTTAAATCAGTCTTTTTGCTTCCTTCCCATACAAGTCTAGTGTTCTCTATGTGACAGTACCTTTGTGTTTAGCCGCCTAATGTGCACAAGAGTTTCAATTGACAATCATAATCCAACAAAACCCAATTCTATGTTGTGTTTAAAGCATCTTTCACAGACAAAATCCAGGTTTGCTGAAAGGGGGGAGTATCTAATTGCCAACTAGTGTAAACCCTTAAAAACATGAATTAACAAAATTTACCCATCCTCTAAGATAGGATGAAAGTTAGGTCTCAATTGGGTGGCAAACCGAAGACATCCCCTAAATGGAGCAGAATGAAGAAATTTGATTCATGCACCAAAACGAATAAGCTAAGGCACACTCTGAGTTGAATAGAGCTGATGTTATGTTTGGGAGAATCGGTGCCTTATATTTGGGATTGGAGGAAGTTTAGTTCAAAATTTGTACTAAATTTTCTTCAATCCCAAATCCAAGGCACTGATTCGGTGCTGCCAAACACAGCATAAGTTTTTTTATACACCTTATTTGTAATCAAGTCCAGCTATGGAGGAAGGGAGAGGATGGTGGTCTACAATAAAATTTTCAAGAGAGAGCATGGTGGTCTTCAATGCAAGTGTAGACCCCACCAGGGACCAGGGTGAGTGAAACTTGACAATGAAATTAAAAGTTATTAAGTAAGCTGATGTATTTAATACTCTAATTAACATAAAAGAACAGCTAACCTAGACCTCCATATCCAAAATCAACAAAATCATCACATTAACATCCTGAATTACCATTTGAATTCTACACAACACATTACTAATACATACATACTGAAAGATTCAGCTCTAACTAGTGCAAAAGATATCCATCTCAAAATTAACCATATTTGAGATCATCACCACTTAGTAGTTGCAATCAACATTTCAACTTTAGTAGAAAAAAGATTCACCACATATGTACAAAACATGCTTCAATAAAGAGTAAAGTAAATGAAAGGCATCAACTAAAGTAGTTCTGACAGAAAGAAAAGAAAAAACATTCTATATGCTATTGCAATTATATCATAAACCACATTTCAATATGATAATCTCACAGAATGATCAAAAGACCTGCAATACCGGCCTCTTACCGAGCCGCTTGATCTCTCTATCCATCTGACCAGTAAGCATCAATCCAAACATCTTGTAATCACACAAAAGGGACCAAAACGGATGGCCAAACGTCGCCGGAACATTCCCTTCAACAAAGAAATGACTGTACCAGGCTAAGCCATACCCAAACAGAGGCACAAAGAACACAAACCACCAATTGAAGCACACAGAGTACATCAACAAGAGAATACTAGTGAGTGTGCCCACAAAATGCCAACGCCGTGTGGCTGGTTTCGAGTGTTGGTTCACATAGAAAGGCCAGAACTCTTCCATGCTTCGGAAATTCATATTCTTCAAATTGAAACCAGATCAAACCCTAACGGAATACACCCAAATCAAAACTTTGATTGTTTGATGTTCATGAAAAAGCCTATATGGGTATGGTTGACTCTCTTGGGAAAAAAAAAAAGTGTTTGAAGCCAATCTGGTTTTTGGGTATGCTAAGATGGAATCAGACCCCGAAATTTATAAGCCAAATTAGGTTTCAGATATGATTGAAACACTAGCTGGAACAAAACCCAGTAAAAGTTGTGTGGTTGACCAGAAATTTTGGGATACTTGATCTCTTCACCCACCACTCTCTTGTGTGTGCTTGGATTCTATGTGTGCTTGAGGAATTGGACAATCAATTTGAAGGTGAGGTTTGAAAGGTGAATGGTTGGCCTCTCTCTATCTCCCAGTGAAAAAACCAAAGTGGATTTGGGCGTCTCATACCAAACAAGGTCATTGATTTTTCAGTTTTGGATGGGTGATGGAAAGAAAACAAATATCCAAGACCAAATATGACTTGGACCCTCTTTTGTCTTATTAGCTTATACCAAATGTCACCACATAAATTTTTTTTCCCCTACAATATTAGTATATGTAACATACTTTGGTCTGTTTGGTACCCCTTGGCTCCTTCAAGATATAGAGGCTGATTTTTCTTTTTCTTCTGTGCGTTCTGCCCTCTGGGTAGCTTTGTTTTCCTTGTTTTCGATAATATATATATATATATATTATAAAAACTTTTTAAATTAAAGGTGGTATACGAGTCCATTATACAGTGTACTGACCCCAAAAATTCTGATGGTCTGTCCTTCAGAAACAAGGGCCAAGGGAAAATCTGAGAGAACATTTACCAAAACTATTGACTAAGCAACACTTCACCCAACTTGGGTGTCACAGATTTATCTAATTTCCCATTTTCCTCATTAGAATCTGGATTCTGGAAACAAGCTTGACCATGATACACACAATTATCATATTGTTATAAACATAAAACAATATCCAAGAAGCAATGAATATACATTAACAATAAATGCCATTACTTCATAGACTTGATCGACACATTAAAATCAACAAAAATCTTGTACAATAGGCTAATGGCACAAAAGCATCTTACAAAAGGACATTTCAACTGTCAAGTCATCTTGATAACCTTAGAAACAACAACAAAATTGGAGGGTGATAGAACATATATGTAACTCATACAATTGAATCTTCCACAAATGCAATTAGTATAAGAATTATAAAATTGTATATGAATAGAATTTTATATTTGTTTTTTAGATCGAGTGTTGATATGCTCTCCAATTCAGAGGAGATCGAACAAGACAAAAAGGGTGTGTGGGTATGTCAAGTCGATGTCAATGCTACTAAGAACAAATTTCCCCTTTCAATCCAATCTAATATATGTTAAATGTTCATACAAGGAAATAATAATGGCACAAGATGAGAGTTTATTCCTTTCCTATGTCTTCTGATTCACAAGAAAAAACATACTGTACATAATTTAGACCACTTCGATCTAAATCGTGCATGCCAAAGACCATTACTTGCTATCTACTCAGAGTGCTGAAGAATAATTACTTTTGAACTCTTCAATCATGCATACAGAAAAATAGAATAAAAAATTATGAATTGTTCTGCCTAGAAGACTTGCTCTCCGGTGGCATAAAGGTTCCAAAAGATGGTTGTAACAAAATAGAGAGCGGCGGTGAGAGTTAGGAATGCTTGAAAAGATCCCATCCATTGTACAAAGTAACCTGTTCCAATAGTACTGATTATGGCTGCCAGTGTCCCAGCTGAATTTGAAATCCCTGTTTGATAAGTTTTGCAAAATGGAAAATTGTCAGAACCAGAAAAGAGGAGAAGAAATAGAAAAGATGAACATGCGAGGTGAATCAAGAACCTACCGTGGATGAATCCTGCATACTGAGGAGCAATATCCTGATCAAACAACAATAAAAACTAGTCATTTCAGATACGGGTAACAGAAATATATGCCATTGTAGAACTACCATGTAAAAAGTTCTTCAGAAAAGCATCGGCTGCTATGCTTTTTCAGATTAAAGTTCTTCTATGGTGAAATGATGAATCTTACTTGCATGTTGAGCAGAAAGCCAGCTTGGCTGAAAGAGCTCAAGCTTAAAGCTGCTGTGATGAATATGGATGCAACCACCGGTGTCTTGGCATAGTTCAAGCAGAGCAATGACACACCAGGCCCAATGAAACCAATAGACTGTCATGTTCAGAGTGCTATGTCAGTTTTGGTAATGACTTCCACAAACGATGCTTTTAAGAAACGTCTCTTGATGGTTAAATTTTGGAAAATAGTTGGATACCCATGAATGAGGAATTAATTTCCATTAGGTAGTATTCAGGAGTTGCCATTCAATTAAAAAAAAATGAAATGGGACAATTAAGCAAACGAATATTTAAAAAAAAAAATGACAGAAAACTTACAAGGTCTTAATTGTGTTGTATAATGTATTGATGAAAATTGACAAAATTTAGTCTTTCTAGGGAATTTTAATGGTGATTTGTTCCGCTTTCCTTGCTTTTTGTGCTATTTTATTTCATTACATCAGCCTCACTACCTAATATATATAGGCAATCAAACACCAAAATCAAATATACTGAGGTTTTGTTTCACAACCAAGTTCTGAGCATCAGAGTTTTAACATGCCAAAAAACAGAAACCTGGTTCTTTCCAGATAAAATTTAGTTACCTGCATGATTTTCCTGACTAATGTTAGTGAGTACCCCATTTTAATGAGGAAATCTGATGTTGCGCCAGCAATGTAGCCTGAAATCGCCATCAATCCCCAAGGGATGGCACTAAACCAAGCTGCTTGCTTCAAGTTCATACCAAATACCTATTAGCACAACAGGAAAAAAAAAAAGAAAAAAAAAGAAAAATCATTTAGTACTTGTAATAATAGTCATGTATCAACATGCAGAGTCTTCAGTGGGAACCATTCTAACACGTTCAGGGTGGTTCTATCATCTAGTTTATTTGAAATAAACTAGTCAAATTTAATGGTATCATGAATTGTAAAATTAGTCCTTATTCTCACTCGTGCACATGATAAGTAGCATAGTGTTTGATGGCTATGCAATTTTGCCAAAAAGTACAGAAAGAAAGATCAAAAAAAGAAAGGGACAGGGTTGAGGAAATTGTTACTCACTGTTTTAAAATAAACCGGCATCCATGAGAGAAGAACAAAGTATCCCTGCAATTTAAGAACATTCTTAATGCAAACTTTAAAACGTTAATTGGTAGCATTAGTATTTTATTTCATTTCAGACGAAGAAAACTTACCCAATTGTTAGTAATATTAGCAAAGATAATTGCCCAAGTGGGAAATTTTGATAATATGAGGCGTAGCGGAGGAAGTGTGCCTTTATTTACAGGAGATTGAGATTTCCCTTTTTGGATTAATTGCAACTCTGATTTGCTAATAAATTGGCTTTCTCGTGGATCATTTGTGACCCTACATGTCCATATTGTGAGCCAGAGCAGTCCAAGAGATGAGAAAAGAATGAAAGGACCAGAAATTCCAATAGATGACATTACTATTGGAGTTAGTATTAAGCCCACAACATTCCCAAGATGAAATCCAGCCATAGATATTCCAACTGCTGTAGCTCTTTCATTGCTTGGAAACCACCTAGAAAAAAAGTAGATACATTAAGACTAGCTCTAGTTATGGTACATTTTAATATAAAGCTCAAGTTGTTTTATATCGACATGGATCTATATCCTGATAGTTCAAAATTCAACGCAATATTTACGAAGCCAATGCATTGGGAATTGTCATTGTGTGCAACTAGAGCTTGTTCGGATCCAAGCAAATCCTGCAACACTGAGAGAGTGGCAACCAATGCATGTTTGGCTCATTTAGTTTGGCTTAGAGTTACAATTGCATGTTTATGATTATCCAATAACGAAACAAGTGTTACCTTGATAAAATGGTGCTCATGGAAGGTAGAGCTACACCTTCAGCGAGTCCAAAGAAGGCACGAGCAGCCAAGAGGCTGCTTGTGGAGTGGTTTGCAGCCAACGGTGTGAGGAGAGTGGCGAAAGACCACAAAGCCACACCCCATGCAATCACTTTACTTCCACCATATCTGTCCACCAAGGCTCCCCCAATAACTGATGAAAATATGTACCCCCAGAGAAACGAGGACTATGCATGTAACAGTAACATGTATTTGTTAGTCCATCAACTAACCAATATGATGAAGAATATTGTTTATACACATACAAATAAGAAATATCAGTTAAGGTTACTGAGCACTCACAAGTCCATTATACCTATACAGTCATTCTAGTTGCAAATTTGCAATGGAGACCATGGTAAAACCAAGATGAGGGCTTATCAACCTCCATAACCACAAGATAATGTCAAAACTCGGTCAACCTCGTTAAATTTTAAGAAAACATGCATCACTAGTACCTTATCCTATCAGGGGCATATTCCCAACCCATTTATTGGCTAGAGAGGCACCACTCGAGTAAAGTCAAAAACCTTCATTGTGGAACCTAATTTCTTATACTCCATTTTAGGCAAAGCATTATTCACATGTCAATTCCATGAGTCAAAATATGTATTGCCTTAAACTTAATTCTGTCAAAGTCATGTCACATAACAACATAAATATGTTAACAATATAAAATATTGGATTGGGTTAGGGTTTGATTCTTCAAGCCTAATTCATATAAACATGAAAAAATAATGTCTCTGTAAGTTGTATCTACCATCATCTTTTGTTTATCAAGGACAGATATTTCCAGACATTAGCGGGTAATAAATTATTTTCAGATCATACACGGAGAACCAAGACCAAGAGATATTTTTATGAATGAAAACTATTTTTACATGGTAGGGACCAACTATAATGTAGAGGGTAAGGGTTTATATATATATAAACTTACTTATATTACTTTTTAAGGATCAAGAATACTAGAATAGTTGCAACTCAGGTAAAATGGGCCAGCCAGGATGGTTGGTAAGTGTTCCTTTCGCTGCTTCGTGAGTGCAGGGTACCACCAAGAATAAAGGACTTCCAACCCAATGACCTCACTGTGATCGTCACATTTGTAAATGAAATTTAGCACTCATCGAACCATCTGCCACGTGATGTTCATTTCTGTCATTTCATTGGCAACTTGAACACTCAACCTTCTAAAAGGGAGAGTTTATGCAATTTAATACAGAGCTATAACACTTGTTCAATTTTATTTTATTTATTTTTATTTTTATTATTATTATTTTTTTAATCTAGAACACCAAATCTCAAATGGTCCAATAATTTCCAAAAAATATGCCAAATAATAACAATAATAATAATTTCTCAACCGACAAATGATTTCCAATCAGATACCACTTGAATGATTTCCAATCAGATACCACTTGGTGGACCCGAAGTGTTAGGGTTTTTCTCTTCTGTAAACTGTAAGATCAGGTGGCGGCAAACCAACCCCCTCGCTTCTCAACAACCACAGAAACATTTTCTGAATAAGTCTCTGTTTTTTCCGAGTGAAAGACACAACTTGAATAAAAAACATAGAATACAACTCAACTTTCCAGGAAACACAGAGAGAGAGAGAGAGAAAATCTTGCAGAAATATAAACCCAAAAACAAAATTGATAGATTGAGAGAGAGTGTTGCTCTAATATGAAAGAGAAAGAGGTTGAGTTTTGAGTTACCTGAACAATGCCCAAGAAAGAGCTGCTCCAACCATTTTTGGCAGCTAGAGGAACGATGGCCACGGACATGACAACTCTATCTGCATTGCACAGACACATGACACAAGCCATTAACGCCACCACTTTGAACCTCTCTGACACCACAAATTTACTACTCTCTTTTCCTCTCCCTCCCACCAGCAATCCCCTCTCTATCCCCTCCGCCGTACATCTTACCACCCACCTTCTCTCTCTGTTCTTATTCACACGGTACTCTGTTCTTCTGTTCCTCTCACCGCCCAATGATAAATTCGCCCATTTTGTATGGACTTTTGATTGAAACCCCAAATGGGTTTTTCTAAAATTAAGCAAATTCAAATGGGTATTGAAAGATTTTGCACCGGAAGAATGTATGATAGATTTAGTACTGGAAGAAGCGGCCGCCATGAGTGAGAAACTTTCAGTGAGAGATAGAGAGAGAGAACGAGTGAGAACGAGTTATTGAATATAATGTATATAATGCTAAAAAAAGGAGCTCTTTGGATGAACCATTTGTTTATTCCATATTAAAGTGGTTGCTGGTGAGGAGGAGTGGACTATGGAGAAATTGAAAGACACAGAGAAATTTGTTTTGGGTTGGTGAGAATACAGGGCCTCGAGAATTGGTCTCCTTCAAATAAGACTCTGGAAGGACATTTTCGTCACACACAATATATACACGGATACGTAACATTGTTGGCTACCATTAGTACTGTGAGTCCGACTTGGCACCAACGTGTCTTGCTACCCTGAGTCGTCACCAACCACAACCCAAAAGGTGTACTAACTACTACGTACCAAGTGCCAACTACCACCATTTTAGGGGTTGTCACCGGTAACCGGAGATATCTGGTGAAGGCTCAACGGTACAGTGCTTTTTTGATCAGTGGAAAGATACTTTTTTGGCCGTTGATCATGGAAATATCTTCAGATCTACGGTTCGCCTGGTTAGGTGGGTTATTTCAAAGTTCAACCCAGGAAAAAGTCTATGTACGTATGCGGCGAATCAGACGAATTTAGATATGCGTCCAATTTTGGGAAAAAACAATCACTTGTCTTGTCTTATATATATATATATATATATATATATATATACTTTCTTCATTATTATTATTATTATTTTTTTTCACTTCATTATTTACTTTCTTTTTTCTTTTTCTTTTTTTCACTTGTCTTATATATATATATATATATTTTTTTATATATAAGGCAAGTGAACAAAATATATATATATATATATATATATATATATATATATATATAAAAGACAAGTGAACAAAAAATATATATATAAGACAAGTGAAAAAAAAGAAGAAGAAAGAAAGTAAATAATGAAATATAATCATATATATCCGATCAGGAAAGAAAGAAAAAAAAAGAAGACAATTGTTAAAAATAAAGAAAAAAAATAAAGTTAATATAGCCATATATATTCCACCTTGATGGATATATATATATATATATATATATATATATATATATATATAAGACAAGTGAACAAAAAAGAAGAAGAAAGAAAGTAAATAATGAAATATAATCATATATATCCAATTAGGAAAGAAAGAAAAAAAAAGAAGACAATTGTTAAAAATAAAGAAAAAAAATAAAGTTAATATAGCCATATATATTCCACCTTGATGGATATATATATATATATATATATACTTTCTTCATTATTTACTCTTTTTTTTTTTTTTTTTTTCACTTCATTATTTACTTTCTTTTTTCTTTTTTCTTTTTTTCACTTGTCTTATATATATATTTTTTGTTCACTTGTCTTATATATATATATATATATATATATATATATATATATATATATATATATATATATAAAAGACAAGTGAACAAAAAAAAAGAAAAAAAGAAAGTAAATAATGAAATATAGTCATATATATCCAATCAGGAAAAAAAGAAAAAAAAAAAAAAGAAGACAATTGTTAAAAATAAAGAAAAAAAATAAAGTTAATATAGCCATATATATTCCACCTTGATGGATATATATATATATATATATATATATATATATATATATATATATATATATATATAAGACAAGTGAACAAAAAAAAGAAAGAAAGTAAATAATGAAGTGTGATACCCCTCGGATCCGAGATACGGGTTGATTAGGCGCAGGCTTAAACCCAAGGGAATATCAAACAATTAAAATATTTTCAAACGAATACAGAATAGAAATTTAAGAATTTAAATAAGGACACGAAAAGAAATGTAAAATCCTCCAGATAAAAATTATAATTTAATCCTCCAAAACCTTTAAGTTTACAACTTGGGAATCCAACTAGTGGACCTCTAAACCAAATTCCAACTGAAACTAAGTAACTGAAAGTAAAGATATTCCAAAACTAAATCATGAAGTGAAATCCTACATCATCGGTAGAATGAATGAGAGTCTCTGCTTAGCACAATCAAGCTTGAGACTGGAACTGTCCGATACCTAAAAAGAATAATAAAGGAGTGGGTTAGGCCCACGAGCAAGTTCTAATCTAACTGCAATCCATACAGTGACCTGATACGCAGATACACCGTAGACACCTCACAATATCTATCTAGTCCATACATATAAATATATCCACACTAAGGGATATTCACTGGTCTATAATAGGGGTCTTAACCTGAATGGAAGGCAACATGCAAAAACGCACCCAAAAGTGGGCATAAGTACCTAGACCTAACAGGGTACACTTCAACCTATTATAACCGGCTACGCATCCTGTAATACCCCTAATTTTAAAAAGGATAGTCCTGGTATTTTGGTTAATTATTTAATTGCATTTTTGAGAATTTAAAATGTTTAATTGCTTGTGTTTTTGAATATTTGAAATTATCTGTTTATTTGCTTGATATTTGACTTAATTGTGACTTGTTTGAATTATGGTGTTTTAATTTATTTAATTGATTAGTTAATTGTATTTTTGTATTTTAATTCTTTTACATGCTTAATTGATTTACATTAGGGTTTAGTTAACGTTTTAGAAGTCAAGTCTTGGTAGCCGACGTAGATTTAATTAGGATTTTCTATGGGCCGGCTAGATTCATTGTAGGGTTTGAATTGAATTTAGGTTTTATATAAACTTATAAATATACGTATTAAGTTCTGCCTAGGGTTTTTAGAAAACCCTATTCACGACAGTGGAGGCAGAGAAGGAACATAGGAGGATTACGGTCGTTTGCAGGAGAAATTTACGAAGACGACGTTGGGATTTTTAACCGAAATCTCAAAGGCAAGTTCTAATCCTAACTCTATTCCTTAGGCTCGTGTTCTTTGCATCTCTAATACAATTCCAGGGATATATAAAGGTTTAAAATTAAACTGGGTTTGCATGTCTGAGATAGTTAAACCTGAATGTGTTTATAAGTTGGTTATTGTTTACTTTGAACTCTTTCTTGTGAAATCCATATTTTACTCTATCTTTTAATTGATGTCAATTAAAGAATTAAGGATTTAATCAACGCTGGAACACCTTGGGAAAATATTAAACTTAATCTGGTTCGCATGGGTGATCACTTGAAACAGTATGATAATGAGTGAGTAGTTGTTCCGGTTTAGGTCCTTCTTGCATAAGTTGTAGTCTAATTGATGTTGGTTGATGAATTAAGAGTTTAACTAATTCTGGAACACACTGGACCTAGTATTAGACACGTAGGAGCTTTAAGAATGGAGGGCAGACGATCAGAATGTCAGAAAATAGCAGGCGTAGGAGAAGACGGAGGCTGGGAGGAGTGGAGGCGGCTCCACCCTTCAATGGAGGCGGCTCCATTGAAGTGGAGCCAGCTCCATATGTTATTGGAGGCGGCTCCAATAGGGTGGAGGCGGCTCCACTTATTTTTGGAGCCGGCTCCAATGTGGTTTTTCCATTATTTTTAAGTTTCAGCGAGAGTTTTGCTTGGGTACTTGGATTTTGAAGGTTCCAGTTTAATTCGAAGCCTTAATGGAGGTTTTCATAGGTGTCTAAGAGCAAATTAAATTTCCCAAGAGCCTTGTTAATGCATAATTAATCACCTTGTATTATAGTTTGAACATTATAGAATTCTTGCACAAGTTAGTATACTGTTTAAATGTGAAGGTACAAAATTGTTCAACATGGTTTTAGCAATTTTGTCGAGAATGATTTTATAGATTTAAATCATGTTCCAGTGGTGAAATATAAGCATGTCAGATTACAGAATTATTATATGCTTATAGAGGATAAATTGATTTATACATGTGATAAATGTAATATCAATTCTTGGATAATTATGTAGCGGTATAAACTAAGCACGTTCAAATATATATTTTGATTATGATTAGCACGGATTAAAGGATGTATATACTTATTCTCTGTGCAATAAATTATGAGAGAATCATGCAACGGTGGTATAAGACAAGCATGTTAGTTTACAAAGTTCTATTATGCCTTGTATGGAATTAATTAATGTAAACAGTTATTTAGATTTTGCCAGTTATTATGGAACAATTGATGCCTATATGTAATATATTATTATCAATTGTGGAATTTATGGATTAGTTGGTATTTACATATATACTTGTATTGCCAACTACTGGATGGATGGATTGTATGCACCGGTATGGGACGGTGACATATTAGGGACGGATTAGTTTCAAAATACTACATCCTACCTACATGGAATAAGGGAATGGATTTCAAAATAAATCCTACTTATGCTCAAGTCAAAGAAGCTGCACAAGCTGAATGACTAACTGGATTACTTGTTATTTAAGTTAAGTCAAAGAAGCTGCACAAGCTGAATGACTAACTGGATTCTTGATGGATAATTAGGATCGGACTTTAAATATATTTTTATGGTACCGCGATATGAGCTTGAGTCTCAGAGTCGTCGGTTAGGGAGCGTATATGCAGTAGGATGCGTAACTGGATATGGGAGGTTGAGGTGTACCCTGTTAGGTCTAGGTACTCATGCCCACCTATGGGTGCGTTTTCGCATGTTACCTTCTATTCAGGTTGAGACCCTCTCCATAGTCCAGTGAGAGTCCTGTAGTGTGATTATACATATGTATGGACTATTAGCTATTGTTGAGTTGGTTAGAATGTATATGCGTATCGAGTCTCTGCTTGGATAGTAGTAGGATAGAACTTGTTTGTGGGCCTGACCCACTTCTATTTTTCAGGTGTTTAACCGTTCCAGTCGTAGGCTTGATCGTGCTGAGCAGAGATTATCACTCACTCTTTCGACGACGTAGGATTTCTCTCCATGGTTTACTATGGATGTGCTTTTAGTAGTTTTCTTTTCAGTTTGGATTTTTAATAGGGGTCCACTAGAGATGGATTCCCGAGTTGTATTCATGGAGGTTTTACTTTTTATCAGTTGAGGATTTTATATTAGTATTCGTTTCAGCTTTATTATTTTACCTTCTAAACTATTTTGTAATCTGTGTTCGTTTTAAAATATTAATTGTTTGATATTCCCTCGAGTTTGGGCATGGGCCTGATCAACCCGTGTCTCGGATCCGAGGGGTATCACACATCCACTGCATATACGCACCCTAACCAATGAGTCTGAGATTTAAGCTCATCTCGTGGTACCATAAACATATATATAAAGTCCGTTCAAAACCAGGGTATGTAATTCAATT